ACAAAATATTCGTTTAAAAGAAGTCATTGATAACTTCGGATTCTTAAGGTCCTTGAACTCTTGAGATTCCTCGGCAATGGGATATGCCTTAGAGGAACTTATTGATGTCTTCGAACTCCTGGGGTTTGAAGCGTGTATTCTATTGACTCATTCTGATCTAAAGATATTTTAAAAGATAGGCTCAAGAAAGAGGTTCCCCTTATATGTAGGTCTCTGATTGAGTGATTTTGTTTGAAGATCTATTTATCAGGGGGCACCTTCTTTGGCAATCAACAGTTATGGAATGCAACCATACATAGCACTCCCTTTTCTTGTTTGTTTTCGATGTGGGATAAAATCCCCTTTGTTGAATGGTCCTAGCATTGTTGGGCCAAGGGTTGGGGCCTAAGAGTGGGATATCCATAAAGAATATTTGCCCCTATTTGGGTGGGTTTAGCCCCATCTGTATATGTTCAGACTTTTGATATCCGATACTTAAGTTCATCGGCAGTTAATCGTACCTTAGAAGGATATGTTGTTATTTTCGGACTCTTGAGGTCCGAGGTCTTAAACTTCTTAACAGTCGTATATACCTTAGAGGATTTTTATATGTGTTCATTCTTGAGATCCGAGGCTTGAATTTCCTCGGCAATGGTGTATGCCTTATAGGATTTTATTAATGCCGTCAGCCTCTTAGGGTCCGAAGCATGGAGTTCCTCGGCAATAGGGTATGCTTAAGAAGAATTTTATTGATACCTTCAGACTCTTGAGGTCCGAAGCATGGAGTTCCTCGGCAATAATCTATGCCTTAGAGGAATTTTATTGATACCTTCAAACTCTTGAGGTCCGAAACTTTTATAAGAGGAAAAGGCTAAGAAAAAAAGTCACCGAGACTATGTAACTTTCAATACTTGTGATTGGGAGTCTATTTGTCTCGGAGACTCGTTTTATGGTATTTATTTACAATACGATACGGTTATATTAACTATGCACTCTTTTTATTTTTAGTCGATGTGGGACAAAAATAGAGTTAAATTTTGGGCCAAGTATTCTGGGCTTAAAAAGAGAGAATTATTACAAAGAGTGTCCATAGGTACTAGGGCTTTAAACACAATTTGTGTTGGGCCGCTTTTGTTACCAATAGGCCCACTTTGCAATATACTTGAATACTTTAATTTTTCCTTATATAAAGGAATGTTTAAAGTTATTTTTTATCGATGTGGGACAAAAACATAATTAAGTTTTGGGCCAAGTACTTTTGGGCTTTGTGTAAAAAATGAAGGGAATTATTGTAAAAAGTGTCCTTTGGATATAGGGCCTGAGAATGGCTCGTGGGCTGCTTTATTTTTTAATCGGTCCTCTTTGCAATATGTTTATATGCTAAAATATGTCCCTATTTAAAAGGATTTTTCAAATTACTTTTTACCAATGTGGGACCCAAAAATAGAGATCTTGTTCTCAAAGAAAAGATTTAAAATATTTTCTTTTTTGTAATATCAATAGTAGGGTATATATTTTACCCCTATAACGAAAAAGAAAATAGTAATAAATAGTATCCCACATCGAATAAAAAGAAGCAACAAATACCAATATATTTGTAGGGATTGAATTTCCATACATCGTAATGAAGATTGTTGGATACATGGTACTATTGATCGTTCGTGTATCCAACGCTCTTCATCTTTTAGAATATCACTACATCACAAATTTACAAAAGATGATGTAAAAAGATGTAGTAAATAAGAAACTTTATTATGTGGGCTATAAACAGCCTTATTCATATAAAGAAACATAGAAAAATTGACAAATTGTCTAATGGTAGTACTTTTTGAGGTGTATTGCATGCCATGGGCATGCAATCACTCGCCCATCTGCTTCAGCTAGCCTGTAAGCGCCTTTCCCTACTACTTTTATAACTCGATAAGGTCCGGTCCAATTGGGTTGCAATTTCTTTACGTGGGTTGTCTCCTGCTACAGTACCCAATCTCCTATTATAGAGCTTCTGATCCTAACTCACTTATTATAATTGTTTCGCAACTGCTGTTGATATGAAGCGAGTCAAATTGCCGCAGCATACCTCTTTTCTTCCAAGAGGTCAAGGCTGTGTTCAAGCTGCTGATCATTATTCTCTTCGAGTAACAGATGTGTCCAAAAAGTTAGGATTGCTGATTCTATTGGGATGACAACTTCGGATCCATAAGCCATTGTAAATGGACTCTCCCCTGTTGGCCTTCGTGGAGTGGTTCGATAAGCCCAAAGCACGTTGGGAAGATTCTCGTACCATTTAGACTTGAGTTTTTCCAGTTTCTTCTTCAGACAGTCGAAAATGGTCCGATTAGTTATCTCAGCCTGTCCATTCCCCTGTGGATGGCTTACCGCAGCTAACTTCTGTCTGATTTCATACTCAGCAAAGAACCTACGTGTGCTCATATTGTCCAGTTCTTTCCATTGTCCATCATGATGACCTTCAATACTCCAAATCGGCAGATTATATTGTTCCACAAAAATCTTTTCATTTGCTCGTAATAGGCCTCTGCTTCTACCTATTTTGTGAAATAATCCGTGGCCAATAATACATATTCCTTTTGCTCTAGAGTTTTAGGTAGATAACCTACCATATCTATTCCCCAGTAAGCGAATAGCCATGAATTTGCCATTGTATGTAAATCTTCAGCTAGTTGATGTTTCATTGGGCCATAGCGTTGACATTTGTCGCACCTCCCAGCATATTCTTTGGCGTTTCTAGCCAAGTATGGCTAGAAATAGCCTTGAGTTAAAATTTTATGGGCAAGGGCTCTTCCACCAGAGTGGTTGCCACAATCCCCATCATATACCTCCTTTAATACCTTGAGGGACTCTGTGGAAGTTAAGCACTTCAAATACGAACCTGAGAATGACTTTCGGTATAATCGATTATTAATGATGGAGTACGTAGCTGCTGCAAACCTTACTTTTCTAGCCTCATCCTTTTGATTCGGAAGGATTCTGTTTTTGAGATAGCTTTTTAATGGATCCATCTAGCTTGGCTCCTTTGGAATCTCTGGGATTACTGTTACCGGCAGCTGAGGACCTAAACTAGGTTCTTCTCGGGTGTCGATTGGCACAACCCAGATCAAATCTTCATCCAAGGAGGAAGTCGTTATAGCTAATCTGTCTGCTTCAGAATTCTTTTCTCTTGGTACTTAGTGAAATTCGATTTGATCGAATCTACGTGTAACACTTTCGACAGCATCCTTGAATGCCCTCATTCTTTCTTCCTTTGGTTGATACTTTCCTGTTACTTGATTCACAATGAGTTGTGAGTCACTAAAAACTTTTAGACACTTTACCTGAAGTTGGTTTGCCAGCCGAAACCCAGCTAGCAAGGCTTCATATTTGGCCTCATTGTTGGTGGCGGGAAAATCCAAACGGATTGATTGTTGCAACTTTGTTCCTTCTGTAGTTGTGATGATGATCCTTGCCCCTGCACTACTCAAGTTTAAAAAACCACCAACATGGAGTTCCCATTGTGGTTCTGTGAGTTCTAGTTCTTCGAGCTTATCTTCGTACTCCAGGAGGAAATCGGCCTTGGCTTATCCTTTATGTGACACCTTCGGCTCGTAGGCAATGTCGAAACAACTAAGCTCGATTACCCATTTTGTAATTCTGCCTGACAAATCCAGCTTAGAAAGGATAACTCGCATAGGATAATTTGTGAGGACCACTATGCGATGAGATTCGAAGTAAAGCCGAAGCTTTTTCTTTACATATACTAATGCTAGTATGATCTTTTCTACCTTGCTATATCTTGTTTTGACCTTAGTCATTGTCTTGCTTGTGTAGAAGACTGGATGTAGATTCCCCCATTCCTCTCGGATCAGAACTACACTTGTGGTTGTGTCAGAAATTGCTAAATAGATAGTGAGGACTTCTTCAGGCTTTGGGGCACACAAAATAGAGGGTTTAGTCATGTAGTACTTTAGTCTAGCAAGAGCTTTTTACTATTGAGGTCCCTATATGTCTATGTTATTCGAGCGTATAGCATCAAAGAAAAGTTTGCATTTATCAGACAATAGAGATATGAAGCGACTGAGAGTTGCTATTCTACCGGTTAGGATCTGCACTTCTCCATAAGTTTTCGGCTCCTGATTCTGTACTAGGGCCTGGGCCTGAGCCGGGCTTACCTCTATCACTCTTTTGTTGACAATATGGCCGAGGAATTGTCCTGAAGAAACTGCAAAGGAACAGTTAAAAGGATTCAACCTCATATTATATTTTCTCAGAGTGTCAAAGACTTCTTGGAAGTGCTTGGGATGATCGTCCTTCTTCTCACTTTTGACCACCATGTCATCGATATAAGCCTTAATGGTCTTGCCCAGCATCTCATCGAAGATCTTGTTCACGAGGCGCTGGTAAATTGCCCCGGCGTTCTTAAGTCCGAAGGGCATAACTTTGTAACAATAAGTTCCCTTCTTTGTAGTGAATGATGTTTTTTCTTCATCCTCTGGATTCATGGGAATCTGATTGTACCCGGAGTAAACATCGAGGAATGTTAGTCTCTAATAGCCTGTGGTAGCATCCACCATCTAATTTATCTTCGGTAGCAGAAAACTATCTTTAGGATAAGCCTTGTTGAGATTGGTGAAATCTATACATACCCTCCACTTTCCGTTCTTCTTTTGGACTACAATTACGTTCGAAAGCCACTGTGGATAATGCACTTCCCTGATGAAGCCCGCTTAAAGCAACTTGTCTACCTCTTCAGCAATGATTCGATTTCTTTCAGGAGTGAACCTCCTATGTTTTTGTTTGACTGGTCTATATGAAGGATCCACCTTTAGATTATGGCATGATACCGAAGGATTGATCCCTGGCATGTCCAAATGGGTCCAGGCGAACATGTCTACATTTCTTCGGATGACATCAATTAATACATCCCTCTCTTCGACTGAGGGGGAAGAACCCATATAAGTGACTTTCTGTGAATTACCGAGGATAACTTCTACAGCTTCAATAAGATTTCTCGGTTGGATTTGTTGTTTCTACCTCTGCTTTGGCTTCTGAATACTTGGGCAGAGGGCTTTGTACCCATATAAGTGACTTTCTGTGAATTAACAAGGATAACTTTTACAACTTCAATAAGATTCGTCGGTGGGCTTTACTGTTTCCGCCTCTGCTTCGGCTTCTGAATACTTGAGCAGAGGGCTCTGTAATTGCTATTTAGTAACACCTTCAGGGGTTGTATCTGATTTGAATATCTTAACTCCTTTTTTTGCTTCCTTCAATGTAAACATGTAACACTCTTTTGCAGCAACTTGATCTCCCCAAAGGTTAATGACTTCTTTTCCATATGGAGATAAGCATCGCATCACTTGATATAAAGTAGACGGCACTCCATTCATTCGGTGAATCCAACCTCTTCCCATAATGAGATTGTAGGAAGGATGAATATCTATCAAGACAAAGTTTTCTTTCAGTAAACTTTTTGCAGCAGTGACTAACAAATCAATTATCCCAATAGGGTCCACTTTCGGTCCATCGAACCCCATCAATGGACTGGATGTAGCTCGAATTAACGATGATGGGATTTCTAACTGCTCAAAGACTGCCTTAGTTATAATATTGGCACTGCTGCCAGGGTCTACCAAGACTCTTTTAATCATGCAGTTTGGTACCAGAAGATTAATAACGAGTGGATCTTCATGGGGAAGCTGCACTCTGGATAAATCTCCATTTCCGAATCCGATACTGATACTGCCCGAAGTGATGGTATTTATTGAGGATAACTTTATTAGCTTGTGGACGAGCCTTCAGCCTGGAGCGGTACACCTCTTCTGACTCTTGGTCTTCCTCCGATTTTTCATGTATTGCATGAATGACCTTCACTTGATTACCTTCTACTTTCCGATGATTAACCTCATTCGGCCTAGTATGCTCCTTCTGCCCGAGATAATCTGTTAGATCTCCTCTGGCTATCATGTTTTCCACATGTCGCCGAAGGGAGCTAAATTCATTGGTTGTATGTCCATAATCCCTGTGGTAGGCGCAGTGTTTGCTTTTGTCCCTCTGCTGTAGGGGTTGTCGCATTGGTTGACGGACTGTAAATCTTACTTTGTTCTCTTAGAATAATCGAGCCAATGTGGTATGAAGAAGTGTTACTCTTTCTTCAATCTTCTGTCTTTTCTCAGGTATTTAGGCAACTGGTGCTGAGGCATACTGATTTCTTTGACTTTTTGAACTCGAAGCTTTTTCCCGAGGCTTATTTTCTACCATGACGAGGGTGGCATGTTGTGCTCGGTGGGCTACATTCTCCTCAAGCCGAATGTAAATTTGTGCCCTAACATTTAGAGTTTGCATATCTGGAGGGGAGTATTTGACTAAAGAGGCATGTAACTTAGTCCCTTGGATCATGTAGATCTTGAATGCTTCTACAGCAGTCTCAGGGTGACAATCTACTATCTCTGAAGCCTCCATGTTGTAACTGGACAGGAAATCCTGTAACGTTTCTACTCTCTTCTGTCTTATAATGAAAAAACTAGCGATAGTCTTTTTCTGCTTTTTATTACCGCAGTATTGTGCTAGAAACATAGCGCACAGAGTTTCGTTGTTTGGGATGGACTTGTGTGGCCTATTCTTGAACTATTCCAGTGCAGCTCCCGTCAAACTAGTTGGGAAAACTTTGCACATGAATGAGTCGGTGTGGTTATCCAGAGCCATCTTCTAAGAGTAGTAATCGAGGTGACGGGAAGGGTCTCCTGTGTCATCGTACTAAGTAAAGGCCGGCATGGTGAATTTTTTAAGTCTATCGACGTAGTATATCTAATCAGTGAATGGAGTCTTTACCAGAGAGGCCTTATACTCCCTGGCCATCTCGGTGGGTGTCGGAATCCTCAGGAGCTTCTTCTCATCAAAAACCTCCTGGACACCATCTTGAATGCCATTTGTCCATACTGTGAGCTTGTGACTGGATTCGGTACGTTTATCTTGTGCGCGATGAGGGTGGTTGTCCGAAGTTATTGCCTCGGTTCTCGTCCTCTACTCCTGCTGACTCTCGTTGGCTTGAGCTTTGTCAATATGATGAATATTGTGGTTGGGGGGAGCTCCCGTTACATTGCTTGGTAGTGGTTGTGGTGCTATCTGCGCCATGGCTATCTGGAGAGCATCGTTCTTTTACTGAAGCAACGCAATCTGAGCCGTACTGGCCTCGTTTGCTTGACGGAGGGTCTCGAACTGCTGCAAGAACTCTTCTCGCATCTTTTACATTAGTTCCATCTGTTGATCGGCTACGGCTCCTCCGATTGACATCCCGGATCGTAGTAGCATAAAAGATTTCAATTCACTCGTGGGGGTATATTTTTATACGATTCCCACAGACGGCGCCAAAGTGTAGGTGCAAATAATTCGTTGAACTAAAAAGCTAAAAGAATAAATATAACTCACTCAAATAAAAAACAAATAATAATAAAAATAATTCAAAGAGAAGCTTGTAATGCTTTATTATCTTTATTGGAGGTCTATGCCTCTATTTATATACAAAAAAAAAAAAAAAAAAAAAAAAAAAAAGGTGGAATTACGGTAGGATTCATTATGCTTGTCCACCAATTCATTCCATATATAATTCTTTACAAACCAATTTATTTTCCTTCTTCAACTCTTTTCATGTAGAACTTTCTTATTATACAAGACTTCTTCTTATGCAGAATTTCCTTACACGAAGGATCCCTTGTGAAAGAGGATTTGTTTAATCCCAATCGTGCTTGGATTAGAATTGACAATGGGCTGGATGAGTTTGTAGCAAGTTGAGAGGTTAACATTAACCATCTTGGGCCGATAGTGACTTTACACGGGCTTGTTCACAATTGGGCTTTGATAGGCCAGAGAAAATCTATTGAGATAATACCTTACTTTAATGATGTGGAGGCTTCTTATTGGAGGGGGATTTTTCCCTCCACATAATGAATTCTTTTCTTTCCATTAAGTTAGGTCTAGGGACACGGACACTTCCATCTCTGATATTTTATGATTGTGTGCACAATAAATAAATAAAAAGACATTTTATGACTATGCATAATCTAAAAGTAATTTTTATTATTTGGATTACTTAGTCAATATATCTTTGATACTTGGCCAACACATCTTAAACATTTGATCGACACATTCTGAATACTCAATAACTCTCACACTTTGTTTTATATATAAAACAATCATATGGCAATCTGCTTGGTTTGTCACTCCAAAAAAAATTCTTAAGAACTTAAAAAATAAAAAACTATTTTTTCTTAAAATTGACATTTTTATAACTAAATTTTCAAAAGACAGTTTTCAAAAAACTAGAATATGTAAAATTTTTGTACAATATTTTATTTTATTTTTTTAAAAACATAGAATTGTTTCAATAATTACAAACCAAGCATATTTAAGTTTTATCATTACAGCTATAACCACACAAAAAATAATAAAAATAAAAAAATAAAATAAAAAATAAAGAAGTTTCAATCTATGTTATAAAAATGACATGACATATATAACCAACATAATTTGTGGGGCCCATTGCATAAGGGTTTATCTAGTATATCTACGAACCGAAAAATTAGAAAAGGAAAAGAAATGAATTAAATTGGCAACGGAATGGGGTTATAAATACGCATGCTATCATCCCGTTGTTTGCACCCAGCTTCTTTCCTTGTATATATGTACGTATAAGGTAATGTTTGCTTTGCTCCATCCCTTGATTTCCTTTCTTCCGCGGCTACCATAAACCATCCTTAAGCCCACTCACCCAATATAATTAATATAACCTTCAGCTCTTCAACATCTGATTACAAGGATTTCTTCCACCGAAAAGGTCGTCTCATTTAAATATATTAATTGATCGCATTCTTGTTCAATTCTTTTTAACTATTAATTGCTGAGTGCCATTTTTGTTGATAATGAGCTAGCTCAATTCCATGTGTATATATATATATATATATCTATGTAATCTCATAATTAATATCAATGCACCTGTGTGTGTCATTAGTACATTCATTAATTCTGCCATAACATGTAAGAGGCCGGTAGGTGTAACACATATATAGAGGCCATGACATTATATATATATATATATAGCTTTGATATAAATTTCTAATGCAAAGTTTGCTTAGTGAAGGCAAACTTCAAAAATACCATCCCATCTCGGAGATTGCTAGCTTTAAGGATTCCATGAATCAGAATTACTTAACTTTCGGTCCCTATGGAGGCCCCGGAGGAAATCCATGGAATGATGGAATGAACTCGAGCATAAGGAAATTTAAAAGAAGGTATGGATTAGTGATCGACTCTATTCAAATTCAGTATGAAAATGTGGATGGAGAAACAAGATGGACCAATAAGCGTGGTGGTACTGGTGGCGACCAAGAAAAACTGGTTAGTCAATTTGAGATCCGTACAATATTTTATTTTATTTTATTTTTGGATGTACGTACCTCACATATTTTGTGAAACCCAACATCTGGGCACAAGAATTCATTGGTTATACTATATATATCTTTTGAACTTAATTTAATTACCTACAAAATAACATGCATATGCCTTGGCTTAATTTTAAGTTCGACAGAAGACTTTCAATTATGGTTGATCCGATTGTAATTTTTCTTTTCTTCATGGTTTTTCTGGTGTGTACGTCAATCAACTGTTATAGATCGAATTTCAACCGGACGAATATATTGTTTCATTCTGGGGCCACTATAGTTCGGATGGTGCAATTCAATGTGTTCAATCTCTCACAATTCGAACCAGTAGAAGACTAACACATGGACCGTTTGGCAAGGAGACGGGAAAATATTTCTATCTTTAAAAACCAAATGCCAAAATTGTAGGATTCCATGGAAAGTCTGAAATGTTTCTTGATTTCATTGGAGCAAATTATGTCGAACAAGACATCCTTACTGTTGGGCCTTTTGGAGGCTTCGGTGGAGATCTTTAATTGGAACGATAAATATCAGTATGGAGTGAAAAAAATTACCATATATGCCGGAGCTCTGATTGACGCCATAAAAATTGAGTATGATGGTGATGAAAAGGTTTACGAACATGGAAAAACTTCAGCCCAAGTAAACACTTCGGCCCAAGTAAAGGAACATCCGGTTAGTCCATTACTTTTCATTTGATATATGTGATATATATATATATATATCTCTGGTAGATTGTATTGAACTATCCGGATGAATATTTGGTTTCCATTAGGGCTGTAAGTTGGGAGGGTCCAACCCAGCCCAGTCCCAACCCAACCTCAACCGGAATTGGGTTGGGTTGGACCAACCCGAATTATACTTAACATGGGTTATAGTCAAAATTCAGCCCGAATATTTTTGGACCGGTCGGGTCGGGTTGGCGGGTTGAGTTTTTAACCTTTTTTTTTTTTTTTTTTTTTGGGAAAATATATATATTATATAGATATATATCTATATATTATTAAAAAACTAAAAAAATTTAGTGCAAATCATTTCAGCCTCCCCTGTCTCATTCTCAACTCTATCTCTCTCTCTCTCTCTGCAACTTCAAACTACAAAATCTACAAGAATCCGAAGTTCAATACCCATATATTTCAGATCTGTCTGCAAGTATCAAAAGTTCAAAATCCATATATTTTAGATCATTTCAGATTGTTCAAAAAATCAAAACCCATATGTTTCAGTTTCCATCGCCGGCTGTTCCAGTTCGGGCCGTTCGCAAGCTTCAGCCGTCTCAAGCTTGCCCCCCTCTCTCTGTGCAACTGCTAACTTGTATGTATGGGTTTTGTTTTTATTTTTGGAAGTGATGGCGGTAGCGGTGGATCGGCTGAGGACGGCGGCAGAGAGAGAGAGAAAGAGAAAGAGAAAGAAGAGAAAAGAGAAAAAAAAAAAAAAATTCAGGCAGAGAGAGAAAGAGAAAGAAGAAAGAAGAAAGAGAAAGAAGAGAGGAGAGAGAGAAAAAAAAAAAAAAAAAAAAAAAAATTTGGGCAGAAAGAAGAAAGAAGAAAGGGAAAGAAGAGAGACGAGAGAGAAGAAAAAAAAAAAATTTCGGGCAGAGAGAAGAAAGAAGAAAGAAGAAAGAGAGAGGAGAGAGAAAAAAAAAATTCGGGGAGGAGAAAAAAAAAAAAAAAAATTAATTTTGGGTTTTGGGATGGGTTCGAGTTGAGCCCGAGCCCAATCCGAATTGTCTGGGTTTTGACAAAACCCAATCCGAGCATGAATCCGATTTGTGAATTGTGTGTCCAAATTTCAAAATTTTTGGGTTGGGGTTGGGCTGGGCTGGGCGAACCCGCCCAACTTGCAGCCCTAGTTTCCATCGAGGGCTTCTATAGTTTGGAATCTGCATTTGGTGGTATTCGAACACTCACAATTCACAGCAACACAGGACGACCATATGGACCTTATGGCACTGAGTCAGGGAAACGTTTCCAGTTTCCATCACCAGCTGATGGCCAGATTATCGGATTCCATGGAAGGGCCGGTGATCGTCTTGATTCAATTGGTGCATATTGCTGTCCAAGCAGCTACACATCTCGTGGCCCACTCGGTGGGACTGGCGGAGTTGAATGGGATGATGGCAAGTACAGTGGAGTGAGAAAGTTAATTATATATACATTCAGATGGCCTTGTAATTCAATCTATCCACATTGAATATGATGGATATGGAGGCTCCACGTGGGGTGAGAAACATGGTAACCCAGTCGGCACCAAATACCAGGTTAGTCCTTCTACTATATATATATATATATATATATATATATATATATGTATGTTATGAGAGATAATTACACTTACCTCATTGTCTCAACCACCAACTCTCTATTTTTAAATATAATACTGACCTTTTCTTTCATTCGGATCTAAGTAACACTGATCATCTCCCATATTTTAAAATTTGACATTCTTGTTGTTGATGTCATATATGCTCAAAAAATTACTTAAGATTCGATGATGTCTTTACAAATTAAGCTTGAAATGCTATTTTGCTCAAGTCAAAGTTAACACTAACAGAGTAGGTACATCGGTATTATTTTTGAAATCATAAAGAAGATTTCTACTATTTTGACAATTTACTAAGTGTAATTATATACACACACATACTTGTAGAGATGATGTTACCAACAACATTAATTAATTGCTTCACTTGTTTTGTCAATTATATTAACTCTTGCAGATCATACTAAACCACGACGAATATTTGCGTTCAATTCGGGGATGTTACAGCAGTTATGATGGTATTGTTGTTGTTCGCTCCCTTACAATCCAAAGTAGCAAAAACAGATCACTAAGCATTGGTCATGTGGATTCTGTGGATAGCACTATCGAGCTTTTTGAAAATAATAAGAAGATTGTTGGATTTCATGGCAAGTCTGGAAACTCGCTTGATTCCATTGGGGCACATTTTGCAGTGGTTAATGTGGAAAATGCCAACGGTGGTGCGGAGTCTATGGAACAAGTGGAAAATGCTAACGATGGTGTGGAACCTATGGAACAAAGTGGTTAATTTGGACGAAGCCAAAGATGAGCCACTCTAATTAATATTATCTATATATACTACGTAGTACTAGTATTTGGATTAGTAAACAAGCGTTTGCATTCGATGTGAAAAATAGCGATGAATGCTCCTGTGTTGCCCTTACTAAAGCTAGCTGGGCGAAAGTAGTGAAGGCAACACAAACTTGTTGGAACACAATTGCATTTAACACATGCAATAAGTCTTTTAAATTCTTAGGTTACCCTTAGTGGACGAGTGAAGTCTCGTGAGTGTTTCTAGAAATGATACCCATAAACATAAACTCATTCTCACAAAAGAGACACCAATATTGCAAACAAGCATTGGAAGAAAACTACCTTAAGTATGCAATTTTTCAACCATTTCCAAGCAATCTCCTAAAATTTCAACATCAAGTAAGTAAGTATGGTCCACTACACATCAAGAGAATGATCATGCAAATCAAAATAACACTAGAATCCTTTGAGTGGACCGGCATCAAATGTGTTGCTATCTAAGTCAACTAAAGAAATGATCACATTCTTACCCTCAAAATAGCACATAAATCTAGTCCCAATCATCAAAACAAAGAGTGGACCTTTTATTAAAACTTAATTGATTCAGGTGCACTTATTCTTTTCACTCGATTTTTTTTATTTTTTTTTATTTTTTTATTATAGGATCAAAGATGGAAACATGGTGCAATGCAGTGAACTATTAAGCTTTTTAGCGATCCATGAGGTCGAACGTTAAGTCAATGACTCCCAAACCAGACGGCTTTTGGGCACTAGGTGTTCAAACACCTCTACGAACTTACAAGCTCAAATCAATAAGGTTACAAATCAAAACAACCTCCATCTAATTATTTCTCACTTCTCACTTTTTAGGAGAAGTCCTCACTCTTTTATTGCTTTTGCAATTTTTTTTTTTATTTTTTTGTTTTTAGTTCAATTATTAACCTAAAGTTTGGGCCCTTCACCTTTCGACGTGAGAAATTCAGTGCTTGATGAGGTTAGAATCCCGGCTACTCAATCAAAAGGGATTGTTATCCACTTTTGTCAAAATGAAAACTTTAAATGTGCTACTAGCCTAATTGGGATATAACCAATTCAATAATCAACAAAGCATGTACCCTACAAATGAATGCTAGTGTGCGCATGTGCTAGTGTAGAATCCTAGAGTGAATCTCAAAACAATCACAAAATCATAATGATGTGGACCACAAATACAAGTAAGATATCAATCTTTCGAAAAATTTACTCCTAAATGGCATTCACAAAGCATACAAGGAATATTGGACTTTCAAGTCAAGCAATTTTTAAATTTTAAGCAATATAGTCCTCAAAAGATTAAAATCATAGCAAACATCGATCTCAAATCTCAATCATGCATTTAAAACTCAACTTAAATAGAATGCAATAAAGCTACCTTACCCCCAAACTTAAACCGCACATTGTCCTTAATGTGCAATAAGAACAATAGAAAAAATGGAAAGAATATACCGTGATGGCAAAGACATGAAGCTTGGTAATGATTCATTAGGAAAAGGGGTCTCCCCCAAACTTGGAATTAACAACCTATTTGAATAATCACACTAGCAAACTCATATCAAATATCAAATGGGATAAGATAAGTAAATCAAGCATTCTAAGGCAATATAGCACAAGATGGATGAGAGATGAGATCAAGCCCTAACTAAAGCATAAGGTACGCATGACTACACATAAGGGCACAATGATGAAAAGTTTTTATATTTTTCTTTTTATAAAAGCAAGTATAGACAAAATGCAAGAAAACAAAAAATAAAATGTATGAACAAAATACAAAAAAAAAAAAAAATAAAGAAGGTAAAATGAAATGAAAAAATATGTACAATGCAAAAAAAAAAAAAAAAAAAAAAAAAAAAAAAAAAAAAAGAAAAAAAAAAGAAAAAGAAAAATGAAATTAAAAACTTTTTTTTTTTTTTTTTTTTTTTAAAGTATGTACAATGAAACAAAATGCAAGAAATATGCACAATGATTGTTAAGTTTAACGTCTCTAGCAAGACAAAATGCTGCTTTGAAAAACAATCATTTCATTCATTTTTTTTTTTTTAGAAATAAAATTAAAAAAATCAAAATGCAGTCAAAGTCAAAGTCAGCAAAGGAACACAGATCAATCAATCCAAGATCGATCTGGAAGAAACTTCGATCGATCAAACAAGTAAAAACCTACAGACAAGTTCGAATGATCAAACAGAGGGCTGTTTTATACGGGGTTCAAAAAAATTTCTAATTGTAGAACTGAGATCGATCGAAGAAAAAGTTTGATCGACCTTGGAAGACTCAGATCGATCTGAAATGAAGTTCGCACAATGAGACAGAGAGGTGAAATATGCAGGAAATCTTCGCACGATGGGACAGAGAGCTAATTTATGTAGGTAGGACTGTTCGATCGATTGAACTTAGGTGAGATCGATCGAAAATGCAAGAATATGCAAGAAATTGAACTTTCTCTTGAGACTAATGAATACATCATTATATCTCTTTATAAATTGGATCTACCAAAAGTGTAGCTTCCATATGCCTTTGAAAAACTTGTCCCTCAATGTAAGGTTTCAACCTTTGCCCATTCACCTTGAATATGTTGCCATTCATTAAACTTTGAATCTCAATCACCCCATGAAGCGCAACAGTGTGATTTTCATTGTGTGCAACTTACGTCTGTATGTTTAATTGGTTTGGTATTGTATCTTGTAAAATTAAATATTCCGACTTTGTAATAAGATATCAGAGGCACATACCATGTGTTATGTTGTCTCTGATTTTCCTTGTAATAAAACTTGGTGTGTTTTAAATATAGATATATAGAACTTCTTTGTTGTGTCTATGAGGTGAAACTCATATATATATATATATATATATATATATATATATATATCTTGCAGTAGTACATCAGTAGAATGACTCTTTTTTGCCTTGACATTGTTTCTTTCCATAACAGATATCAAAAAGAAATTAAAACATAAAGTTAACTCTTATACGTACATACCAAAAAACCAAACAATTCATAATAAAGTTAAAATATTAATCTCAGTCCTTGCATGCACAGACCAAATGATATTTGTTTCAAATGTATATGATATAAAATAAGTAACTTTTTGGTACAACATAATATAAATATTACAGAAGGAAAAAAAAAATTGCTTATACCAACATCACGTTTCCATGGTATACTATAAATAAATGATGATTCAAAAAAAAAAAAATCACATAGAAGGCTAAACTTTTGGAAAAGTCCAAATAAGACAGCCGAGTAAAATTCACTCCAAGCAAATGGATCTAGTGTGCATGAAGGCGAATTGGAAGTCCTTTTTCAGGGCTTGGCATCATATCACCAATGATCTTCTCATTGGGAACCAGTAAATCCCACTTAAACTTGGTCACCACATTGTGCACGAAAGCCAGCACTGCCAATCTTGCATACTCTTTTCCAGGGCACATTCTTGGTCCACCTCCAAATGGTACATACGTGTAAGGAATATGGCTCTCACCTTCTTGGTATCTCGTTGGATCAAACACTTCCGGATTTTTAAAGTATTGAGGGTTCATGTTTGTTGTACTCACTGTCCAATACACCTGTAAAATCATATCACATATACATTAGAATTGGTCAATATATATATATATATATATATATATTAGTGGACTAGTTCATTTGATATATATATATATATACCTTCCAGCCCTTTGGAATAGTGTAACCAGCATAGGTGAAGTCAACTAAGGCCTCCCTGAAAGTTCCTTGAAGTGGAGGATTGAATCTCATCACTTCACACACGACGTTCCATGAGTACTTCATTTTATTCATGTCCTCCCAATCTAATAAATCTCCTGCCTTCTTTGAAGCTGCAATCTCCTTTTGCTCTGTTGTTTAGAAAGAACAAGTTACATTAGGCTGTGTACAATTTATAGGATGTTTTGCTTCAATCATGCTTTGATTTAAACAATTGAACAGAAAATCCATCTAAAGAATAGAAATTGCTCAGTCAGAATTATCGACTAGACTATTATGTCTGAATAGCATTGTCTCTATTAAATCAAAGAAAATTATGAAGTTATTATTCTTACCTGCTAAGATCTTATTGTAAATGTCAGGTCTCTCTCCAACATACTTCATGAACAAAGTCATGGTAGTAGCAACAGTACTGTATCCAGCAGTTAGCAGCCCCATCATCTTATCAGCAATCTCGGCCTCCGGCATGAACTGCCCAGTGGGATCACTGGCAACCACCATATGAGACAGAATGTCTTGCATCGGTGCACCAGTTGCCATTGCAGCCTTCTTCTCCTTGATCACGGCCAGAAGCTCCCTACGGATGGCGGTGGCAGCTTTATTCGCTCTATAAAATATAGTGCCCGGGAAATTGAATGTAATTGAGTGCATCCCCAAAGTAACATCATCAAAATGGGTAACAAGCCTAGCAATTCTCTCGGGGTTGTCGATGCCCAAAAAGAATCGACAAGCAAGTGTCAATGTTATGGTCTTGCAAAGACCAAATGCCTTCACTGTGTCTTTGCCCTCCCAGTAAGTCTGCAACTGTTGTTGGGTCATGGAGTCCATTTTCCCCAAATACCGAACCAAAGCCTCGGGCTTCAAGAAGCCAGGTGACCTTATCACTTTGGCCTCGTCGTTGCGAGCCATTTGAGACGGACCAGTGGCTTGTTTTTGTTCCTTTGTTTTGTATGAACGGAACAGCATTTGCATGGGATGTGGACGGAAGGCGGTGAAGAGCTTCTGCTCGTTGGAGAAGAGGAATTTGTGACCGTTGGGGCCACAAATGACAGCAGTTTTCTCTCCGAGAATGTTGGTCTTGAAGATATCAGGAGAGTACTTCCTCATCCTATCACCCACAAACTTTTCCGGCTTGCCAAACAAGAACTCGATGGTTTCACCCATGATAGGCCATCCGTAGCTGCCCGGTGGCAGCTTGACACCGCCACCGGATCGGCGAGTGAAAGCGAAGATGGTGAGAGTAAGAGAGATGGCAACAAGAGCCAGAGATAAGACAAAGACCTCCATGGATGATTAGTATGGATGTATTGGATCTTATCAGACACTTGGGAACGGAGGAGTGAAGTTGAGTTATGCTTGGAGGGCTTGAAAGTGTGGTTTATATAGGAAAAATATTCAAGTAATTATTAATGGTCTTCCATGGACTGCATTAATTAAATTTAAGCCGGCAATATTGAACTACAGTACTGTTGATTAGTGTTTTTTTTTTTTTTCCCGAACGGTAGTACTGTTGATTGTTTAATAATAGTAAATGTATGAGTAAGTCTCGAAATTGAGTCTATTTTTTATCATAAGTGGGGACATTGACTCTTTTTTTCATCATAAAAATATTATGTGTAGAATTTATATCATCTTTTGTCATCATGATCTCTAGGCAAGTCCACATTACTTCAGTGACGGACCCAGAAAATTTGGTGAGGGGGGGCGAATTTTAATTTGTGGGTACAAAATTATATGATGGGTTCATTTTTGTAATTTTAATAGGGTTTTTTTTCATAAATTTTTAAAAAATTTAAGTATAAAATGAAAAAAAAAAATTCAGTGGGGCAAATTATAATTATAGTGGGGCATCTTCATAAATTATCAAAATTTGAAGTATAAAATGCTAAAAAAAAAAGAATCCAGTGGGGGCGAATTGTAATTTTAGGGGGGCATTTTCATAAATTTTAAAAACATTAAGGTATAAAATGAAAATATTAAAAATTCAGGGGGGGCAGATGCCCCCCCTAGTCCCCTGCTGGGTCCGTCCCTGCATTACTTCTTTTTTTTATCTCACCGAGCTCTTAAACTCTATATCATAGTAGACCTCTAATTTTGCATTTAGAAGCATCAAATTTGTGTTTTGAATTTAAAATTAAAAAAATTTTAGCTTAAAGGTTTGAATTAAATTTCATTTAATATCAATTTTTAGACATACAGACTCAATCATAAGACAATCAAGGCGACAAGTCATCTCATTATATTAATTATATCTGACAATAGTTATAGAGTGGGGAGCACTTAAAGCCTAACCCTTTTATCACTTAATAAGTCGGGACATTGACTCTATTTTTCATCATAAGAATATCATGTGTAGAATTTATATCATCTTTTGTCATCATGATCTCTAGTTAAGTCCATATTACTTCTTTTTTATCTCACCGAGCTCTTAAACTCTCTATCATGGTAGACCTCTAATTTTGCATTTAGAAGCATCAAATTTGTGTTTTGAATTTAAAATTAAAAAATATTTAGCTTAAAGTTTTGAATTAAATTTCATTTAATTTCAATTTTAAGACATACAGGCTCAATCATAAGACAATCAAGGCAACAAGTCATCTCATTATATTAATTATATCTGACAATAGTTATAGAATGGGAGCACTTAAAGCGTAGCCCTTTTACCACTTAATAACACCGCCACACCTATTATATTTCTTTTGAATTTTGTAATTTATTGATTATAAGTCGTTGTAATTTATTGATTTTCCTACACATCAATTACCTGCAAAATTAAATCACTATCTCATAAGCTAAAAAAAGGTAAATATTGTTCTATATTTTCTTGAGCTTATTGCAAGTTTAGCAAAGAGAAATTATTTAAATAAAAATTATTAATATTGTACAAACATAGTTACTGTGAAAATGCTTAATTTAAATATTTGGCTTTAGGCCTCCCCGGCCTCAGTATCTCCAAATGTAGCATATAATCATGTCTAATGAGATTGTAATGATGTTAATTGTATATGCATGTGTGTCTATAGGAATTAATAATGTAATTATATATGTATGTATAAAATATATATTGCTAAGTACTTATACTTTCAATAAATGAGGTCTCGTGTGAGGTTAAGAAAATGATTAAATTAAGCAGCAAGTTGGAATCATGCATAAGAAAATAAATATTTTGTTTGAAAGCACTGAACTATATATGACCCGATAAAAACTATAAATAATCAAGTCAAGGAATTGAAAGATCAATAAAATTACAATGTTTCCTTACTAAAAATTTTGTTGAGTTCTTCAAGTAAAAATATTAAGAAATCAAATTTTTAAATAAAAAATATATATTAATAATAGCTCCCACATATTAAAGTCCACTAGTGAAATTGCTGGGTAAAAACCCAATCATGATTCACAAGTCACCTGACATTGGCCTAAATTGGATTGACCTAGACTTGCTGAAATTTTCAAAAGAATCAATCTTAACCCAGTCCCATTACACACCTAGTCACTCAACCACAACCAATTGGTTGGTGTTACCATTAAAATTATTTTTTTGGTAAGTGATTGTTACATTTAAACTTGTTTTAAGTTAAATGAACTGGGGATTCATTTTCACGTCTCTAGTTGCCTTTTTTGAAATATTTTATAACGTAGTCAACTATGACTAGTATGTGTGTGAGCGTGTGTGATAAATAAATAAGTGCAACCACTTTGACAAAGTCGAAGCTTTCATTACTCCAAACATTTCCTTGTTATTTCCTTTTATATACTAGGGTCTCTCTTCACCCCACCAACCATTTATAATTAAAAATTTGAGTTAAATTAATATTTAAATCGCTTTACATATTCATTAGTTGGAAATTGGAATGTGTATTTAGTGGAGGTTGAGTGGTTTTTGGCTCACAGAGTTCAAGAGCTTACGTACACAGCAAATTATGAACTTGTTTGGTTTATAATTTTGAAAACAGTTTTCAGAAACTCATAAAATAGATAGCAGTTTTTAAGGATTTATAAAAAATTATTCTCTGAAAACATGCATTTTTATAATTGAATTTTCATTAAACAATTTTCAGAAAACTGAACAAAGCAAAAAATTTTGTATAGTTTTCCGTTTTCAATTTTCAAAGAACAGAAAACTATTTTCATAATTACAAACCAAGTAAGCCTATATTTTTTATATTTTTCAAAAAAATTAATATATATATATATATATATGTTTTTCATATTTAATAAACAAATTCTCCACCTTCAACTTCAAATTATGCAAAATATTTAAGAATTTGTTTGGCTCAATTATCCAAATAGTTTCCAAGTGCAATTAGTAGAACAAATACTCTAAAATTGCATCTTTCTTTCCATGTAACAATTCTCAAAAAAAAATAATAATAATAATTTATTGACTAAACTAATTTTTTATTTCTTTTTGTTTTTACATTATTTTTTTCTTCTTAGAAGGTACTCGCAGACACACACACGCGTTTGCACTGGGACTTGATTCTTTGACCTCCTTTTGAAAGGTAAGGGACTGATACAGTTAGGTCACTGACCCATTAATTTATTTTTTAATTATTTGAAAATAAAAAATAGTTCGTTAAAAACTCAACCAATGAGATTCCATAATCAAAAATTTGGTGGGGAAGAGATATTGGGTGTGTCCGGTGTACCGAGTTAAAATTAATGGATGTTGCTTGTAGTAAATGGACGCCTCAAATGTATCTCATGGTACGCCAAACACACCGAATACTTATTCATTGATGGGGGCAGTGTAACCGATATTCCAATTTCTCCCAAACTAAATTGAAAATTTTGCCTAGTTTTATTGACGTTATACTTAGAACATGGTCAAGATCAACAATATGATGCCAGCAAAAACACACAAAACTATGACAAATTCAACCATTTAACTAACATCAACATCATCAAAGTTTGTTCAAACTATAATATTACATTTTATACCACACACATTAACGCCCACCATGCTTCATTAAACTAAAAATATTAATCGCCTGATATTTTCTCACATTTCACATTTTGCACATGTGATACACGTTTCTTTCTATTTCTCCCGACAAAGCTCATGGCTTTGTAATGTTTCCATCTCATAAGCATTGATAGCATTTACGTGAGTCGAATATACATACAATCATATACTTACATATATATACATATATACATTCTTGAAAAAACAATAGGAGAATATATATTTATGGTACTGCAATGCATATATACACACGCGCACACACATATACATATAATTTACCAGATATCCCACATGCAATTATACAATTTGCTTCAATTTCCAATATATATATATATATATATATATATATATATATGCAGAATATTAAAAAAAGAACTGCTCGTCCTGACATACACAGTCTAACAATTTCTTTTTATACTATAACTCACCATGACAAAAGCGAGTGTTTTATATTCTACTGAAAGTGACTTGGTACCAAATTGGACGTGTTTTTTTAGTAATTATACTATTATATACACACAATATACTAGGAACGCCTTGTTTGACTGTTCAAATGTCTCGACAATGGATATTGAATTACTTGTGAAGAGAATCCACTAAATATATTAATAAATACATTAAAATGAGAGTAATATATCTATTCAAATATATTTGTAAAATTGTTTCAAGCATCTGAACTGAAAGTGCCCCTTGTTTCAAAGAGAGGAGGAAGAATTATTCACATTTCATTTATGGTCAGACGCAAATTGAAAACTAATCTGTAGCTACTAGTTGCATGGTCGTTTCTCTTGAGTTTTAATAAAATTTCATTTTCGTACCAAAAATGAAAGGAAAAATTCATTGGGCATGCATAGTAAGAATATAAAAATATCTTATATATTCAATATACGATGATATAGGTATGACTCCATTGTAAAAGCAAGTATCCATTGAAATTTTTTTTTTTTTTCGCGTTCAAATCATTTAAGCTCAAGTATGTGTTCAAATCATGATAATGCCATATACACTATATTAATCTTCCAAACACCATACAGATTTGAGCACTTCGATTCAATTAAAAAGGCGTCAAAGTGAATTATCACATATAATTCTGAAATATGATAAGGGGAAATATTATTAAAATTATTTTTTAAGGTCATGGTACAGCAAAAATGAATTAAATCAGGACCTGATGATACTCTCACTGAACAATTAGTTATTAAATTGCTTTTTCTTTTTTTTTTCTTTTTAATCCTAAAATACTTTGAATTTCCGCATACTACTTTTTACCAGAATGATTATGTAGACTGTAGAGTAACATAAAAAAGGAGGTTTATAGTGATACTGTTGAGATTAAACGTTCTTGAGCGCATCCTTTGGTGAATTGTCGACGACGCACACCCCATTTTCCGAAGCAATTACTGCTGTGCATCTGCAGTTTAACCGGTGAAAGAAGTAGAAGAAACAAAGAGTTATCACATCTGTCTAAAATTTTCTAGGTAAAATGGACAATTAAATGAAAGAACCAAAACAGAATTGCTCTTCAAAACCTTCAGAAAAACTCGAGGATAAAACAAACACAGCAGGCTGTTCTAACATATAAAGAATGGGATAAAATGTGATATATATATATATATATATATATATATATTTCGGAAGTTAAATGTGATTCATATATTACTAAAAGATGGCAATGCATAAGCATGCATACAGTTGTATATACAGCATATCATACACAGTACTTATGCATCCTATATTTAATCCAACACCCCTGCCTCCTTTTCCCACCACCAGAACTCTAGTGGATCATGAAAAGAGAGTTTGTCACGAAAAATTGAAAAATCCCTAAAAAATGGTTTTTGATAAGGAAAAAAGAAAAACAAAAGAACGGCGATAGAGGGAAGGTGATGAAGAGATTGAAAGCTGTCTGGACTTTTCTAATCTCACAAGTTAGATCATAATACTCCGACTGAAGAGAATAAAATAACACCAAGGAAATAGTACATGACAACCAACACTCGGCCATTAAGCTATTACACACACTTATTTTTTGCAGCTTGCTTAATATCCTCTGATAGTTTTTGCCTCGTATTTCTTAGTCAATGCTAAAGAAAATTGACCCCTCGTTTCGACAAAAATGTTTTAAAATGATGACATAACTCTCTCGTTAACTAAATGCTTATCCACCTCAATATGCCTAGTTCTATGATGCTGTGTTATATTGGAAGCGATGCTGATAGCTGCTGTGTTATAACTTATCACAATATAATCCAGTAGGATCCTCTGAGTCAAAGCCTCATTCCTTCAATATGATTTTTACCTAAAGATCTTCACAAATTGCGTGTATCGTTGCTCTAAACTCAACTTCTGCACTTCATCTACCATCAACCAACTGTTCCACACTTCGTTAAATCACTAGATTTCCACCTGCAGAAGTACAGTAATATTATGTTGATCTCTCATTTACCGAGTCTGACTAATGACTAATCCTTTTAGGACTACTTTTGAGAGACCGTGCTTGAAAACAAGAGGCCTTTCACAAGAGCAAATTTTAGGAATTGTACAGTGCTAAAAACTGCTTCCGGATGAGATGAACCGGGTGTGTGCATGTACTGACGACACTCGCAGCATAAGCAATAATAGATCTAGTGAAAGGTATATCGATAAGCTTACCTACCAATCTCTAGTATATCCTTGCATCCATAAAAAGCACTCCCACTGTCTTCACATAGGCTTCTGATTAAGCTCATAATGGTGTCTGTTATTCACAACCCAACAGTCCAGTCCTTTTTTTTTTTTTCAAGAGATCTAGGGTGCACTTTATGACAAATGGAGATGCCTCTTTCTGAACTGACTACTCCTGAGAAAGTACCTCAATTCTTCCAATTTTTTTATCTCAAATTCCTTAGCCAAGGAAGAGCAGTTTTTTAATTTGAAGGTCATTTCCAATCATCAGAATATTATCCAGAAATATAATAAGAGTGGTAGTTGTACCATGAAAATGGTTGACAGGGTGTGATCACTTTGACTTTGGGTATTTCCATACTCCAGAATAGCCCTTTGAGATCAATTAAACCAATCTCTTGAAGACTGATTCAACCCATATAAAGCCTTCTTCAATGTACATACTTTATCTTATGTGGATGAAGATGTGAAACATAGAGGACTACCCATATAAACCTCCTCATCCAAGTCACTATGGAAGAAAAAGTATTCATGTCCAACTGCTAAAGATGCACCCAAGGTTGGCTGCTGGAGAATGAGTTCGATGGAATTCATCTAGGCTAGACTCAGATAGAATTCATCTAGGCTACAATGGCAAAAGTCTCCAAGTAATCACTACCGTAAGTTTGAGTAAGACCTTCAGCCACTAACCTGGACCTCTATTTTCCTATAGAATCAACAGCCCCATGTTTCACAGTAAACAACCATTTGCAACGTCCAATCTCCTTAACTTATGAAAAGGTCACCAATTATCATGTGTTATTTTTCTTGACAGCTCTCATTTCCTCCAACATGTCTTCCATTTAAGTTTTGTTATGCATCTTCCAACTTGTGCAACAAACCAAGAAGACGGCTAGAAAGGCATAACAGGAGGGTGAGAGAGAATGATAAGATACAAAGTTAGAGATGGCAAGAATGCACAACTTCACAAACTGCAATAGGATTTTTTCATTAAACAATTAATTTGTGGCTTATAGAATTTTTAACTACAACCATGGATAATGAAACTAAGTTATTCCTTCCTAGGGAAAAAAATAATAATTATTGGATATTAATATTATCGATCAAAAAGATGATTAGAGGACCAATTCTACCCTACCAATTAGTGGTGTGCCAATTAAAAAAGGTGCAATCCCCTCTCTATGATATCCAATAATTAAGCAAAAATGATATCATCTACAAGGAAAAAAAAAAAAAAAAAAAAAGTCAAGAATAAAACAGTTTACAAGGGAACAAGATACTGACGGGATTCTGGAGATGACTCCATGGGCTACAACCCCATCAACTTTATCAAGACTCTCAGCGACATCAGCTGCAAGTAAAATCAACAACCTTCTAAGCAAAATCATGAAGCTTGGACAGAGATATTTAAAAAGATAACTATCATCATAGTAAAGCCCTACCAAGGTTTAGTATTGGAGATGTGAAAATAACATCAAGAACACTGTGCCCTTCTTTAGTTACTAGTGGGAACTCTCCTCCTAGTGGACCTGCATGCCCTACTGATGATCTCCTCCATACCTTCAATTTTATGAAGAAAAATTTGTAATAGAAAGAACTAGTACTTGAATAAAATATTAACCCAGCATGTCTCATCAACCTCAATATGAATTTCATTAGAATTAAACTGCATAAGAGACATGGTATTTGTAAATAATCTTCCCAAGCTCTCTAACATCGTAAAATCCAGATGTTGAACTTTTAGAAAATACTGTTGGTTCCCTTGACCAGGGATTGCCAAAAAAGAAAAGAAGAAGAAGAAGTGCATTTTTCTTACCCATCTGAAAAAGTATACATGTCTTTGAATTTTAATGATAGCATCTTGTAACAGAAACAAATTCTCCAAATTAAATAATTAAATCTAATTTAACCAGAGTCCACATTGGATGTGGAAGCCAACATACTTCCACAAAGTGTACCAATATTTCTTTGCCGCGACAAAATGCAATTCAACCAATCACATGCAGCCATGCAGGACTCTTCAATGTGGAAAAAAACTTGCTGGTTTTATGGTGAGGAAACTTGCACACCAGATGCAAAATCATTGGTCAGGGATATGAATGTCTCAAAATTTTGAAAATTATGTTGACCCAAAGGTTTCAACCTAAGGGCAATCTAGTAATTTTGATTATTACAAACCATTAATAGTGTTTAGGCACTAATCTTTACGTCGAGTGCTGTGCTAGATTTGTCACATTTCCAAGATTAACCTCAATGAAGCTACGAAGATCAAATCACATTCCAAGCATTCAAACACACATGAAGATATCTATGGACACAGAAATGACTTAAAGATCCAAAACGTCAAAGCAAGAAGCTTTCAAGTTGACTTGAACCTCAAAAGCCAAGAACGCAACTCAAAGCTCATGGAAGAAACCCTAAAGCTCAATGATCAATGCCAATGCTTGAAGAAATGGGTAGATAGGTTAGTGAGTGCTTAGGATTCATTGTCAAAGTACTTATGAACTCCTTTTGAAGCTCATCTCTATAGGATCATGCATATATACATCATTCGTATCTTATATTGATCCTTAATCAACCTAGAATTAGGTCATGACCTTCAATGATCCATTCATACTTGACCTAAAGGAATATAAGGCCAAAGACACCTCAAAGGTGATCTATATTTGAAATTAAGAACTTTCGGCAGCTTGGTTTAAAATTCCAGCTGACTGATAGAAGCTATAAATTGAGGCAGTAAGTATGCATTCTTGAAACCACGTTTCAGCAGCCTCAAAGATACTTTCAGCCGACAAGTTTAATCGTATCAGCCAACCTAAACAAGAGTCTCAGCCAACCGAAACTTGCCAGTTTGAACTATAACGGCTAGATTTGCATTTATAGGTGGAGGCAAATTCTGCAGATTTCTCTCTCTATAAAGGCTGTACATTTATGACGAAGACACACAACACTTGAGAGACATTTATGAGCATTCAATACGACATTTGATTTCTCTCTCATTTCATTCAATAGACTTGAGCTTCAACTTGATTTCATATCTGCTCTAGTCTTGTGAGCTTGTGCTTTGTATACCCATCTTTTGAGAGATACACTTGTATACACATTCTTTCTACAAACTACTTCAAAGGGTTGGTATGACCCAAAGGAAGTTTTTCTCTTGGCAAGAAGGAAGGAAGCAAGTTTGTTTCATTGTAAAGGTTTGCTCTACACCCGAAAATAAAAGCCATAGTGGACTTGGGAAAGTCTCAAGAGGGATCTTGAGCCGAGAAGTAGGAATTCCGAACCTCACTAAATCGGCGTGTCATCGTTTGCAATCTCTCTTTCCTTATCTCATATAATATTGTACTTGCTTTGCTTTATATTGCTATATTCATCTTGCACATTTTATAGAGATATTTGCTTGACTTGCTTTATTTTTAATCCGAAAATTTAGCCATTGTTTGCCAAAGACAATTCCCCCCAACCACACCCCCCGGGGCGCGCGGGGGGCCTTCCTCTCGAGTCTATTATTGGGTAACAAGTTACTTAAACCTCTACATATGAGAACAACAAGTCATCTTAGCAATGTCACGATATTTTGCAGCGATTATACCTCAGCATCACCAAGGAAAAGGTCATCAATCTCTTCAGCAGCTTCCATCCAGTTAAACTGAAATATAACTTTAAGGTGTTAAACGAAGTCTTTTTCTCTTATTGTGGTAACTAATTCCAAGCATATTCCAGATTACATGTGTGGAAGCTTACACAATTAATTAAAACTGGAACTGAACCATCTAGATCACCTTTGTACTGTTTTTCAGTGACAATGAACACTAGCTTCTCAGCTGCTTCAAGAATAGTCTGCAAGTGAAAAGAAAAGCAAATAGCCAGGAAGCAAGATCATAAAATCAAAGATGAAATTCCAATGCACGCAATATAAGTGTTTCTAAAGGACAAGATATACAAGCAAAATTGCTTTGAAGGTGTTCTGATCAAGAAAACAAGAGAGAAAATATCCACATATACAAATATTAAGCACTTCAACAAGCAGAATTACTTACGGCTATCTGAATAATCATCACAACATAGATTGAGTAACAATATCTTATGGGAACAGTCCAAAAAATGATAGTTTGACTCACTTTCTCTTGAATTATAGACTCCTCTGCTTGAGTTCTTCCACGTCCAATGACTGCCACAAGTGTTCCTTCTTCTATAATATCAGCATCACTAAACGTAAAATTAATCTACAAAATACCAAATTAAGGACATATTATGCAACGGTATAAACTTTTCTTCTTCATTTTTTGGTAGGTAACGGTATAAACTTTACAGGAACATCATACAGAATTATGGATTTAAAGTCATATAGGAGCACCAGTCTATAATAACTTTCAAAGACGACTTCTGAAACAATGAACAAATTTAGTAAAATTTTCTTAGCTGTCTGATTCAAGTAACTAAATCTATATAAATTTAGTTAGAATATGTTATAGACTTTTGTAATTGAAATATCCAACTTCAAAATGACAGATAAAATTGAGCTTTCATACTAGTCTGTTAATTTTTTTTACATTATTGAGTTCAAAAAGACATATATTTTTCAATGTAATGTTCTCTTTTTCCCCTTTTTTTTCCTTTTTTTTTGTGTGTGTGTGTGTTTGTGTGTGTGTGTGGATTAATCAACTATAAATATGGACCCAACAGGTATGTTACTGTGTGTGCTTTCAGATTAAGATGCAAAGAGAGCTGTCCAAAACATGTAAAACTCACAAGCCACAGCTAAAATGCAACCGAGTTATTGGAAATTTAGAAATAATGCACACTTGTGGACAATCTTGGTAGCTATCCAATGGAATTCCTGCCTTTGCTGCTTCACTCGCACTACCAACAGATCTGCATCATACCAATGCTAATTACACTTGATGAAAAATTATCACATTCGGTAGAAAGTCTTAAAATCACACCAAGACAGGATTGTTGGACACATAGGTTCTAGCTAAGACAGTTGAAGAAACCAAAGGCAAAAGACTGCCTAAGGCTGTGTAGCCTAGTGGTATCTCCTTTACCTCCCAAAGGAGATGGTGAGGGTTTGAGTCCTCGTAGGGAAAAATGGGTGTATGAGTATCTTGCCAATTAAAAAAATAAATAAATAAAGAGGCAGAAGACTGCATAAAAATTGTGTGTTGCCTTGATCCTTTAGGGACTAGACTGAGAAGAGAATGTGCATAAGCAAAACACGAGTAATACATGGAAAGGTTATATCTTTGTTCTCATTACATGACTTGTATGCTACATAGAGCATGGTGCATGAAGTGACCCACACGATTTTGATAGAACATAATAGCAAATCCTCAGATGGAGTAGGGCCTATACATTATTCTTGATTTGCTACACGAACAGAAAATTACCAAACACAATACAATCAATTGCCCACACAGACTGGGTAAAATCAATGTAAAAATGGGGATTTTAGTTCTTAATATAGTTGCTGAAACTATCAGACAAACTTATTTGATGGGAGATAACAATTGTAAGTTATTTTTTTTCTCATTTTTTGAAGGAGGTAAGGAATAAAGAAATGGACCCACGTGGGTATCCCTATTATATCTTGTATGGCACCAGCCCGAAGTTGTCGACCCAAATATTGTATTGCCATACCAGAAGCAAGGCCAGATCCTAAGCCAACCACCATGCCACTTCTGACGTATGTATCCACCTAGAAAATAAAATTTAAAAAGCACCACAATTCAGTAACTACAAAGAAGAAGAAAAAAAAAAATGGTAGGAAGTGAATTTCAAAAAATTGAACCTTTATTGAATCCAGTATGGTCATTTCAAAGCAAATCCCTAAACTACTCTGTTCTCTTCTAGCTAAACAAGAAATGTTCAATAGAAATAGACAAATCAATGCTAATATCAATTACTAAAAACAAAAAAAAATATATGAGTGCAGATGTAGTTTATGATGTCAAGATTCCCTTTCCCACAAAAACAAACACAATAAATCTCATTATCGGATATATGCAAATAATTATAACCCAGTGCTTCTACTCTACCTCAGAAGTGAAAGGTTGAGGGTTCAAATTCCCGTAAGGACAAGTGGGTGTCTGAGTTATTTGCCTAGGCAAAATATATAATTCAAAATTTTCACACATTGGGCATAACCAAGTTGATATGAGGATTTAAAATCAAGCTAGATATTCCATGTATTAAAGGGATTATCCACATCTCCAAATGGAATACATTAATGGGTACATAACCAAACAAAAATTGTGTAAAGGACAATACTGATAATAAAAGATCCAAAAAAAAAAAAAAAAAAAAACATTATTTTTCATGTCTATGACCAGTATATTGAACACAGAAGCAAAAAAAAAAAAAAAAAAAAGCAGCATAAAATTGAAGAGCAGTTTGAATGAAGGAATCATAGTTGATATGGAGATGTTACTTACTGTGTGCTTGGCAGCTGCTTCAAGGAGGCGAGCATTGTCGGCGAGACTTGAGCGAGTGATGGTAGGAAGAGAATTGGTTCTTCGTGTGGAAGAGGCCAAGCCCAGACTCTTCTTGTTTGTTACCTGCATATGCATATTTAGGTAGGAGGATAAGCAAGGAAGCAAAGCTGCTGGTGATGCCATTTTGATCTCTCTCCTCTCTCTTTCTCCCTCTCCTTCTGACCCTTTCTTACCCAGAAGCCAGAATCCCGGTTCTGATGGATAAGGAAATTTTAACCGGCGCCACCAGCTACAAGGGCCCGTTTGTTTTGATGGAAAACATAAGAAAATAAAGGGAATGATTCAGATGGATATGTTTTCAATTTTGAAATTTTTTTTTTTTTTTTTATTTTTTTTTTTTGTCTCTCTCTATGTATTACTGTATCTTTTTCAAAATAAAAAAATAAAAAATAGTTAAAACTTCTCTCTTTATTACTATTACTGTATCTTTTTCAAAAAAAAAAAAATAGTTGGTTAAAACTTTTTTTTTTTTTCCTTTCATTAATCAGTTAGGGTGTGTTGGTAGGGTTGATTTGGAGGGATAGGGAGAGAAAAGAAAAGAGAGGATAGTGTAAGTTTGTGTTTGGGTAACTTAAATAGAGGAGGGATAGGGAGGGATAAGGAGAGATAGGGAGGGATAACTATCCCTCCTTATCTCTTATTTGCTTTCTCATCAAAATTGAGAAGATAGGGAGAGATAGTGAGAGAAAGGATAGTGATTTTAGTGGTATTTTGATAATACCAAAATTAGCCTCCACAAATCAATACATAGATTTATTATTCCATTCAAGTCCCATGGTTATGAAAGGGTAAAAAAATAATTTGTCTATTATCCTTTCTTTTCTTTTCTCCCCTCTATCTTATCCAAACAAAAATAACTATCACTTCTTTTCTTTTCTCCTGTCTATCCAAACACAAATAGAAATTATTACTATTATTTTCTTTCTTTTCTTTTCTAATACTATCCTTTCTTTTGTTTTCTTTTATCTCATAACTAATACTATCCGAACAAACCCTTAGCACTCAGCACTATTTTTTTCTTTCTCCCCCTCTAAAGTAATGTCATCTCTTTCTTTTTTTTTCTCTCTTTCTTATTATACCAAACGGTATGGACTCTCAAAAAAGTGATACATACCACTTATGTTCTCTTTGTATTTATGAAAAAAAAAATATATTATTATTAAGTTTGTAAGTTCAATTAAATTTAGACATAATCATCTATCCTCTCACTGTCATGGACAAAAAAAAAAAAAAAAATTGTATGGAGTTAAAAAAAAATTGATTTTTTTCCCTTTATAGTCATCTTTATTCTTACAGAAAATCGTTGATTTCTTTTCCTTTATAGTCATCTTTATTCTTACAGAAAATCGTTGTTAGAACAGTTCCATAGTTTAATTGTGGATTTCTTTTTTTTCCTTTATAGTCATCTTTATTCTTACAGAAAATCGTTGTTAGAACAGTTCCATAGTTTAATTGTGGATTTCCATAATTATCATCTGTGATATTTTTTTTCCTCTATAGTCATATTTATTCTTACAGAAAATCGTTGTTAGAACAGTTCCATATTTTAATTGTGGATTTCCATAATTATCATCTGTGATATTGTTTGGGATTAAATTTTTATAGTGTTGGACTCAAGTGTTAACTCTTTGTTTAAATTAGGTAAAGCAGGACAGGATGAGATGGAATCAAATTTTGGTGGGTTCAGACTTCAGATCTTGGTCACAACTCACACCATTAACATCCCTATACCTCATACAGTTATATACATGTACACACACAATTTTGAAATGGAAAGGTTTTTTTTTTTTTTTTTTTTTTTAATTGGTATCAGGAACTCACCTAGGCAGAGCTCTTTTGGGATCCACCCTAAACTACAAATTTGGGGATGCAATCGATGTTGAAATGAAAAGATTGATACCATAGTATTAATGTTTCATCTACGTATCAAAACAACTTGTTAAGAACTCAACCAATAATGAAAAACGATGGATCACCCCCAAATAGGTATTTGAAGAGAAAAATCAAATTAAGTAAATTAGATTTTCTATGGTTGAATTTTATTATAATAGTTTTATTTTTTATTTCTTTTTAAATGGATAAGAAATTTGTACACCACTTTTACCCTGGTGGGATTTGAACATTTGTGAGGGAATAAATCAAAGTCAAACCATGTAAATGCATGTGGACGGTGAAAGTTTATAATGTGCTTTAATTTTAAGAAATCGGTCTTTGGTGATAGATTATAATATGCTTTAATTCTAAGAAGTTGGTCCCATCGTTATCAAGAAAATATACATCATTTTTTAATTATGAAATTCACTTCACTTACACACCCACAAAATGCTTAATTTCGGATCCCAAAATAAAACAGCTTTGGGCTTATTTTTTATTACTGGCTGATTACTTATTTTTATCTCATGAGAGGTAATTTTTTTACCTTTTGCTAACAAAAATAATTTTCTCTTATTTTTCTTCCACAATTATCCATTATGGCCTGAGCAAAGTTGTAAGAGAAGAGAGAGTGAGTGCATGAAAAGAACAGGGGAAATTTTCGGAGCAAACCAAATCTTAATACGAGCAAACTACATTTGCATTTTATTTACTAATAAAATATAATGCCGCAAAGTATGGCATACATAGGAGAAACATTTGCTTTAAATCAACAATCAAATTTTTTAATTTTTTTTTTTAGCAATTACAAGATAGTTACCACAAAGCATAGAGCAACAACAACAAAAAAGAAAAAAGAAAAATACATGGCACCCAAAAGAAAGTTGATAAATATTTAAAATACTTGAAACTAAAATAACCACATCAACGATGTCACACTAAGCTCGCGCTCTTATAATAGTTTATTTCATATTTAAACTTTCATAGATCTTAAGCAGGAGGTGCTGGTGGTGTAAGGAAAGGGTTGGGGGGAATGGTGATTGGAGGGAATGGAATAGGGAATGGAGGCAAAAGTGCTGCTGGTGGTGCAAGGAAAGGGAAGGGGGGAATGGTGATAGGAGGGAATGGAATAGGGAATGGAAATTGAGGAATTGGTGGAAATTGGGGTAGTGGTGGCAATTGAGGAATTATAGGGGTAACCGTGGCATCCGGGGGAGTATCTAGGGCATCCGGAGTGTCCAGAAGAGTATTCGGGACATCCGAGAGAACAAATGTATCCGATTGAGGTGACAAATCATCAAAAATACCGAACTCCTCCGCAATTCCATTTTCTTCCTTCAATATGCGAGCATCACTGTGACAGACAAAAGTGCTAGCCACAGTCAAGCTAAACAAGAAAATGAACTTGAAGTTGGAGATCATTTTAACAAGGTGAATATAAAACACAGAGTGTAGTTTGATGGAAAGAGAAGCACTCTAGGGGTGTTTATATAGAGATGAAGAGATGCTAGGGAATTAATGGACTCTTTGACTGAGAATATGTGTCATTGATGACCCCACTGATTTTTCTTTTCCATAATCATAGCGACGGTTACTCGTTAATACGAATAGTTATTAACTTATTAATGATGAATTGAAAATAAACAAGAAAGAAAAAGAAATTATAGGTGGCACTCTCAATTCTTTAATTTCAATATTAATCTATTCATAGTTAGCTATTATTGGGATATTATACAATGGAGAGATTGCAAAATAAAATCAAATGTGGCCCTTTAATTATGCATCTAAAAAATCCATATTGTGATTACATTAATGGTTGTTAATGATGATTTAAAAAAAAAAAAAAAAAAAAAAGGAAATTACATTTTGCCCCCTCAATTTCTTTCAATATCCTATCTATAGTTAAGTGTCACGTTATCTTATTATTCTACTTTTGATGAATAATGAATTGTGACTGCATAGGGACATGATTGTAATTGTAATGCTACCGAATGAAAATATAATTTTTTTTTTTTAAAAGCTGGAGAAAGCAAAGTCAACAATATTTTATTAATTAAATATACAAAGAGTAATAATAGAAAGCTTGATAAGTCAAACACATTCTACTACCTGATCATGAAAAGAGTAAAGGTAGAATCGAAAAAAATAAAAAACATGGAATGTGTAATTTGTCCAAATTTTAAATACATTTAGTAAAATTTACCAAAAATAAATGAATGTTGTTGGTCCCTTGAGGCTCTCATCTATTGGTTGTAATACTTTCTTCTTATTTTTTTCCCTCTTTTTGTCTTTTTTTCATTTCATTTTTCAGTAAATATATTATTTAAGTTGTATTCTCAATTTCTCATATATATTTTTTACGGTTATATATTTTTCATTTTGAAATGTTATATTAAGAATGAAAAAACACTAGATGAAGACATTTTTATTAAGATAAACCTTAACGGAGCTTCTTTAATAGGTTAGATATTTCTTAACGCGTATTGTGGCCAAAAGTTAGGCTCTATTAAAAACGAAAAATTGCAACATGAAAAAAAAAGTTGAATAATGTCATAAATTTACAAATTTATGTCTATGAAACGTTTCAAATAAAATTTTATTAAGTTTAAACAAATTGGAACCAACCAATAACACCTTAAATATATTTCAGTAAAAGTTCCAAGTGTGCTAGAATATTAATCATTTCTTTCTAGGTTGACATTTTTTGTTATTCTTAATCAAGAGGATAAAACAAATTGATATTTTTTTTTAATGAAAATTTAGGTTATTTTGTTGTTGTTAGAACTTGATTGTTTTGTCACACCCAATTTTCTTCGGTCATGTATTTTATTTTTAATTTTAACAAAAAAAAATACACCCACACACCACTTTACGATAAAATACACAAATATGTATGAAATCTTTCAAAAAAAAAAAAAAAAAATATGCATGAAGTACACCATATATTGCTGAAAACGATAAATTAAAACGTTGGCATACCTACCAAAAATTACTATCACCCGAGAAAAGAGGAAAAGAGAGGGGAAAAAAATACATATTAACAAACTATCAAAAAGAAAAATACATGGCACACAAACGAAAGTTAACAGGTACGGGAAATAGTTGTGACAGTTTTGAAAGCTTTACGCAGGAGGTGGGGTAAGGAAAGGAAAAGGGAAAGGAAAAGGAGGGAATGGAGGGAAAGTGGGCATCGGAGGAAGAGGGGGAATTGGAATACTTGGGATTTGAGGAATTGGGGGTAGGAGTGGAATATCAGGTTTTTGTGGAAATGGGGGTGGTAGTGGAATTTGAGGAATTATTGGGGCAAACGGTATATTTGGTAGAGGTGGCAAACTCTTCATCTCACCCAAATTCAAACTTACCTTATTCTTACTAGACTCTCCCGTCTTTTTTCTATTTCCATTTCCTTCCATCTGTTTTGACAGTCCAAGTCTGCCAGCATCACTATGACAAACAAGATTGCTAGCCACAATCAAGCTAAACAAGAAAATGTATTTCAAGATCATTGTTGGTAGCTAATTATAGTAAACCCTAAGTAGAATTATAGAGAGAGAAACACAGAGATGATGTCCAGCTTCGATCTCTCACGCTAGGGGTGCTTATATATATATATATATATATATACACACACACACACACACAGAGAAAAAAGCTGTGTGTATGACTCCTAGGATGCATGCATGGTTGGGAAATTAAGGAGGGCTTCGAGGGTTGTGCCACCGATTAAGAGCAAAAGAATTGAAATGAGTGCCAATTTACTACTCTTTACTCTTATCAGATATCTCTGGTTCGTGTACTTGGCAATCAATGTGCTGATAAGCTTACACTTCATGAACGGATTCACATTTAGTTTTTTAAAAATACTAAGAATTCGGACCAGATTGACTACTCATAGGAGTGCTAACTACAGGCCATAAATGCAAGTGTGCATGCATTACATGGCGTGTCACTTGTCCATGTAAAAGAGGCTTGTATAAACCGCCAGCAGATCAACGAAGATGTAGCCTTGGAGTGGTAATGTTTGACACAACACATTAACACAACTCAAACATTAATAAATTTGAGTTTAATTATATTTGTGTCATGATCGTGTCGATTTGAATTGACATAATAATTAAACGTGTCAAATAATTGTGTCGTATTTGTGTAAAAAATGACCTATTTAACTAAATTTGTATTGTATTTCATGTAAAAAAAAAATGATTTTAACGCGATCTTACTTATTTTAAAAACGTGACATTAGTTCAAAATGGAGCTAACTCTACCCTTGCGCGACTATCTTGAATAAGATTTGAAACAAAAAGTTATCCATAGAATAATTACTAATGAGGAAAAAAAATATGACATGAAAAATTTATAACATTGCCCATTACACATTGGCATTCTGTAATGTGATTTATTCGTAAAAACATCAATATATTGTTAGAACGTTAGATATTTTATTAGACATCAATATAGGAAAATGCAAAAAATAAAAAAATATAATAATAATAATAATAATAATTTATATATATATATATATGTATATATATATATTATGTTAAATCTAGAAAATTGAACTAGAAACTTAAGATTTTATTTTAATGCACATATTGGATCATGGGAAACAATTTTAAGTAGATGAACACTTGTGAATGAAAGTTAGATTCTGTTCAAAAGAGTTAAAATAATTTTTCTAGCTTATTAAATTGGAACCAACCAATAACAAGTTATATATATATTGTTTACTTTATATTTAACAATTTTAGTAAAAGTTCCAACTAACTTTTTTTTTTCATAAGCAAAGTTCCAACTTCCAAGTTGTGCTAGAATATCATTAACTAATAATTCTTGAAAATTATAACTTCTAGGTTTGTCATTCTTGATTATTCTTAATCAAGAGGATAAAATAAAAAGTCAGAACAATTTAATATTTGCTTGAAAAAATAGTTTACCATTTTTATTTTTCAACATTCTTGTCACTTATTATTATAATTATTATTATTTGGCTATCTGAAAATTTATGTCTCATTTGAAAAGTCAATATAAAAAATTGTATATTTTTTTAAATAGTCTTGGTTTTTTTTTTTTTTTTTTTAAAGTCTAGCTAATAATATAAACTTTTAAGCCTCAAATAAGTAGTTTTGAAATTTCAAAAGAATACCATGATTTAAATACATACATGTTGGAAGAATAAGAATCTTGTAACTAAGTTGAGTACAAAAATAACTAATGTATTTAACCACATATGACACTTGGGCCTAGAATATGGGTTAAAAAGTTCGACCCAAGTGTCATTTTTCTAGACCTATTTGTCTAGTGACCCGAAGAATTTTTATCAAATATGTCTGAGGGCCCAAATAATTTTTATCCATTTGATGCTCAAAGAGTAGTTCTCATCTACTGCATCAAAGATAAAAATCCACCTATAATTTTTTTTTTGGAAAAAAAAAAAAAAACATTTTCTCTATATAAATAGGCTCGAAAAATGAGCTTTAAGAATCATTTTGTTAAGATTATATTTGTTTGAGCGTAATGGTAGTAAAATATTTATAATAAATATATACATATATTAAAATTTAACAAAAAATAATTTACTCATCAATTTTAGATGAATTATTTTACATTCACAATCGAATGGAATCAATTTTAGACAAATTATTTTACATTCTCAACCGATGGAATCCACTTCAATCTCAGTAGAGACTTTGTCAAACACGAAAAAATAAAAATAATAAAAAAAAATATTTTACCTAAAAAATAAAAATATATTTAAAAAATTTCCAAAAATATTTTACAGAGCCTAAAATAAAATGTGTTACGATTTTATACCCAATCTAAAGGAAAGTTTTAAGAAACGAAGCGTAAGCTTGGAGTCCAAAAACGCAATAAAAGTGGGGTTCGGTTTGAGAAAGACCGATAGTAACTCAGCCATGGCTGCTTCAGATCCCGAAAAGCTGATCAGCAAAGCCGATAAACTGTCAGTCTCTCTCTACATATATATACACATATATATAGTATTGTATATCTATATGTAATTTTTGTTTCTATTGGACTAAGTTTTACTTGAATGATTTGGTTCAATATTTCCTGAAATTGAGTCTCAGTTTTAGTCTGTTATACTAATTGAAACAATCTAGGTAGATGCACTTGGATAGAGTAGAAAGATAAAAATGAAGTAGCAAATATCGTCTGGGTTAAATCTAATTAGAACAGGTTCAATAGATTTATATTGATTAGGAATCATACTCTAGACGATTAATAATGAAATGTGTTGGTGGTAGATGAATAAAAGTATATGATCGGAGAAATTATTGTTTTGCAGAATATTATTTTTATGATGTATAAAATTATTATTGGTTTTGCTGAAATTAGACCTTGATCTCATGGCCAGAAATTATAAATTCTAAACCAGCCAAATAGAAATAATAATAACAATAAAAATAGAAATTATTTTTAGCTAGAAGTTTCTCGCTACATATATGCAATCTCTGATGCTTTATAGTTTCCTTTTATTTTGAAAGTAATAGAACTACTGCTTGTCGTTTTGCTGATGCCGAAACCTAGATCTGGCAGCTTTATATTGAAGATACTGTTTGAAAATAGGGTGTGAAATCTTCATGCCAATGCGGGTTCTTTAGCTTTACCCATTTCCTGTTTAGCTATGAGGGCACATTGGAAGAAGAAATGAAAGCAAATAATAGCAAAGTAAAGAGCATCATCAACTTTTTTTGTTATTGGTGTATTGAGGAAGGATGGAAGAGAGGAGGGATATAAGAAGTTGCACTTGTTTCATTGGAAGAGAGGGAGGAAGCAACGAGGGATGAAGCTTCCCTCCTAGCTCATGTTTTTGGAAAGTTTTTTATCAATCCAAAATTGGGCAAAAGAGAGGAAGGAAAGAAAGAAAAGTTACACTATAAATATGTAATACTTAATTACTTACAAAATCAGTTATTAAACCTTACTAAAATTCTCTTACACGTATAGTAAGGGTATATTTGTAAAATAATATAAAACTCTCATTTCCTTCCTTCCAACAAAAAAAAAGAAACTGTCACATCATCATCCATCCTTTCTACTATCAATTCCATTCAACCAAACAAAAAGAAAGGAAGACACCTTCTCTTCCCTAGGTATGCCTCATACTGTCATACATCCCTCCCCCTCTCTTCTATCCACTTTTCCATCCCTCCAACCAAACAGAGTATATCTGATGATGGAATAATGGATGGATTAGGATCATAATGGTAGCACCTTGTAAGTTGAAAGTTGGTGGTTTCTTTCCAGTTACTATTGCATTTCCACTTGTTATATCGACATTGCTTTTCACTCAAATAACATTCCTTACTCTTTCAGTATCAACTTCTACTGTGTGCTTTGATAGAAGTGGATTTTTTTTTTTGCCCTTTTTTGCACAAGCAAGATGGTTGAGCTGTTGAGGTAAACCAATTCGAGATAAAATGATTTGGCTTTCTTTGCAAGGATACCTTGCCTACTTGGGGTGCTGGAGGAGAAATCTAGGGATTGAACTAACCTTCTGTAATTTTGCACAAAGTAGCTGCTTTCATTTCGAACTTGTGTGGTTAAAGATCGCACAAATAGTATGAGAAATATAAATTGCCAGTAGATTTTCTTTATTTATTTGCATGTCAGAAGTTTTGAATTATGTTCTAAGTTGAATTAGAAAAGAGAAGTTAATTTCAATATATGGAATTCTTTTGAGAGATGATCAAATAATATTATTATATGCACATACTGTTATGTCTTTGTTAAGTTGATGAAGAAAAAAATAATTTTATGTTCTTCATGGGGAAGAAATTTTTTATTTTATTTTATTTGTTAGGTCCAAAGAACAATCTGTGATTCTGTATTTATCAAACATGTCAGTTTGTCTTTTTATGAAAATTGATTACTTGGATCTCCCATTTTCATAGAACAAAACTCAGTATGACAAGGTGGAGTGCGGATTGGAAGAGTGCCACTGCTTTGTATGAGCAGGCTGGTAGGTATTTTATTTTTGTGCCGGTAAAATTCAAATTATTTATAGTATGATATTGAAGTGCAAGTTTTGTATTATTTCAGTTACTCCAAAAGTATATATATATATCGACAGGGTACTTATAAAAAAAAATATATATATATATATAGACAGGGCTTTTCATGCATATCTAAGATTTATTCACAAAGGTTTGTTCTTTGTTGTAGCCATTGGATTTAGGCTTGCTAAAAAGTATGACAAAGCGAAAGAAGCCTTTGAGAAAGCTTCGAAAGGGCAAGAGATGCTTTCTTCGTATCCTCATCTTTTTGTCGGCGTTCTGCTTATACTTCTGTTGTCATCTGATCTCAAATTTTGGTAGTGTTTGTTTTTTGTTGTTCAATCCTTAACAAACAAACCAGGCCTTGGGATGCTGCTAAGCATATGGAGTCTGCTGCTGCCATGGCAAAGGAATTAGACAACTGGGCTCAAGTTGCTGACTTTTACAGAAGGGCATCTGAGTTATACAACGAATGTGGACGATCACAACCTGCATCCGATGCTCTCGCCAAAGGTGCTCGGTAGGCATCTGCTTTATACTCTTGGTATTGTACCTTAAACTCCTGTTCTAATTCTATGTTTTCTAAATTCAGTGGACATTCTTCGTGGGTAATTTAATATTATGGAACTTTTGATATTCGCATTGTGGAGACTTAACAGCTAGTTTGTATGTCTTGTTAAAATTTAATGGCATTGTTGACTTTCATATGACATTTTCTGTGTAAGAAGGATGATATTCACATTGCTTTATACTCTTGGTTTGATCTAGGAGTGCTTTTATGAGTATGCAAGGTCTCAAAAAACTTCACAATCTCATAAACAATTCCTGTATTATCTACTTGTCCTTCCTTCTTTAAGTAATTTCTTATTTTTCCTCCCTTTTCTTTTATGTAATTTTCATCACTTGGAAAAAGATTAGTCTCCCGAGGATCTCCCATTGAGATGCACTGATGGTTGTGCTTGTGCTTGTCCATACCTGTTTTCAGAATGAGTGTTTTTTTTTCTTTCTCCCTTTTAATCTCTTTCTCCATTTGGGTAAAATGAAGGAACTATAACTTAATCCCAATAGATTCTTTTAATGTTCTACCTTTTACTTTCATGGGTTCTATAGCTTAACTATCAAGTTAATACTGTCTTTGATGACCAATATATTACTTCTATTCAGTGTTCTGGTAGATGCTGCACCTGATGAAGCTATTCAGCTGTACACTGATGCTTGTGCTATGCTTGAGGAGGATGGCAAGGAACAAATGGCCTTTGATCTATATCGTGATGCTACAAGTGTTTATATAAAGCTTGAAAAGTAGGAAAATCTTTCTTTCTTTTTTTAACGAAGATACAGTCACTCGATTTTTCCTGTCAAATTGTTTCTAGAATCCTCATATTTTAATCGAACATCATCTTGTTTTTCAGATTCTTTTTTACATGCATTGCCTGCATTTAATGTGCTACTTAATTGATGTATGAATATGGTTTGCTGTACTTACAAGAAAAGTCCCCATTGGTAGCTCACCAGATTACAGTTGACATATTATACGATACACTGTGAAAGTCTAATACTATCCACAGGATTCCATTATGTGATTTCTCTAGAATAGTAGAAACTTGCATGGGGGTACATTTGTACTAAAACTACCTCACTAGTTGCGTCATTGCCCCAAGGGCAAAGAGAAAATTAAAAATTGGAGGACAAGTATATCAAAATCTATGTTAGACAACTGATTTATTAAGTAGAACAGAAATTGGACATATATTCTATATATCTTAAATAGAAGAGCAAATAGAAATCAAAGTGTGGGAACGTCAGTTGATTGCACTATTATCTCGATTCCCTTAACTGCAGAAGTCAACCTAGGCTGCATGAATGCTTCTAAAGGGTGGATGACCCATGTCCCTTAATTATTTTTTCTTTTTTGGTTATTGTCGCAGTAGTAATCAAGCTCCACAGATGACTGTCAACTATATATGATGTACTTAAATGATTTTGTCTTACTAAAACTATTATTAAATTCACATTTTACAATCATTTAAGCTTTGTTTTCTCATAGATGATTTTGGCATGCAGGCAATGTAGTTATATTTATAAATGTTATGGTGTTCCATACTATGCTTTATCTATATCAATACAACTATGTCCTCACATCTCAGGCATCATAAATTTGTCATTTTTTGTACTAAACTTTTGTTTCTTATATGATCTTGGATTCATACCAAGACAATGCTGGTCAAATCATTATTTTGTTAAAATCAACTTGTAGTGTTGTCAAACATTAGGAGATCCAAGGTGTGGCATGTATTACACACGCAGTTTTTAGCCTTTAATTCTGTGGTGTGAGGGCAACTTGGGCATGGTGATCCCAACCGCTGACTGTATGCATCAGCACCACCAGCAAATGTTGATTTAGACACCTCCAGTATAAATGTTGGAGTTCTTGTATATATGTAAATTACTGTTGATCTGTGCTGTTTTCTTTTTTTCATTTTATAAGCATTATTTATGGATTTCATTATCTACAGGTATACCGATGCTGCAACTTACCTATTGAGATGGGGAGTAGCAGCTGATAAGTGCAATGCTAAGCATAGCCAGTGCAAGGTGTGAAAGTGTGTGTGGTTTTTTTTTTTAATCTCTTGTAGCCATTTTCATTTACAGATGTGCCTATGTACATGTAAAGTTGGTAAAAGATTTAAAAATAATTTATTTTCATCTTTTTAGTGAACTCAAGGGATACTACACTAATCAAGTGAGATTAGTTATTCATAAAGCGTTATTCTGGCTTAAATCAAAGTTTGACTTTTTTTTTTTTTTATTTAAATTTGAGGTTGACTTAAATTCGTATAATCGTATCCTTTGTTTGTGATTTTTCTTGTCTCCCTTTTTCCTAGTTGGATACTTTGTGTATTATACACTGATACTTGTGCTCATGATTAAACCAAATTTCAATTTTTTGTGAGGGTCATCATACTAGGCTTCTTGTATATATGTTGGACATGGGCACTCTTCTTTGTGTCCTTGCATAGTTCCTAATTTTTTTTATTTAAACATGATATGTGATTTAATTAATTTGGAATACTTTTGTCATGTACTATCTAGAGGATAACTTGACAACATGCTTTTATATGTCTGCAAAAGTGACAGTACTTTCAGTAAATGTATGCCTAACTTGCATGTGAGTGATACATGCTGAGTTCTCTCTCCCTCTCAAAGTAATTGTTTGTATAATTTTTAAGAAGTGCTGTTTGGATGTAGGCATATCTTAGTGCAATCATTGTGTACCTTTATGCTCATGACTTCAAGCAAGCAGAGAAGTGCTATAACGACTGTTGTCAGTAAGTGCAAAATTTATCACTGCAATTTATGGCTTATAATATGTGTGTGTGTGTTAGCTTTAGTTATGTACTCACTTCGTGATACTTTTGAATTATGGTGCCCAAATAATCGTAAGCTTTTCCTTCTTTTGATCGATATTAGAATAGGTAACACAATTGTTGTGCATAACAAAGAATCTCAATTGAAAAATGAAACAGGCATGTATTGCATGTGTCTGTGTGAAGATTCTCAAATGATAAAATCTGAGAAGCACCCACATGCCCAACTGGGCTGCCGTACCAGTGTCGGGCACGTGTCTGACACGCTGCTAGAAGATTTTTTTTTATTTTTTTTACATTGAACAGGCCGTGGGACATGTTGGGGATACAGTGGCGGACACGCCAACAACTGTTTGGAGTTTTTTTTTTTAGGCCGAAGTTGCAGATTGACGTTTTATATATATATATATATATATATATATATATATGTATGTATGTATGTATATGTATCCATACAAAGTGATGTATAAAATTGGAGATATCTAAATATGTGAGAGATAAATCTGAGAGAGCCGTGATTGAAAGAGATAGTGAAGGGAGAGGTGAAGAGAAAGAGATGCCATTTTTCTAGAGAAAGTAACAGGCACAGACTACAGAGAGGTGATAAGAAAGAGAGTGAGGAATAGAGGGATCAAAATCTTATCTTTTTATTTTTATTTTTATTTATTTTATTTTTTACACCACTTTTGGATAGAAAGGTAACTTTTTGATATATAGATAGGTAACTTCACTTCCATATTTTGCAAAAGAAGTTGGGCTTTTGAGTTGGCCTAATTTAAATTAGTTATGTTTATGAATATAAATTATAATTTGAGTAAAAATTAAATTTTTATATATAATAAAAAATTATAATATTATTTTATTGCCGTATCCTTGTTGTGTCCTATTTTTTTGAAATTTTCCGTATTGCCATGTCCGTGTCGTACCCATGTCCCGTGTCCGTGTCCATGTCCATGTTCATGTTCATGTTCATGTCCGTGCTTCTTAGGATAAAATGATCCACAAATTCCTTCTTCTTGAGGTTTATTTTGACAATTGTCTTATGGTATCTTCTCCTGTACTTCCATTCTGCCTTTCAGCTTTTGGTCTGTTCTTCAATTTGTCGTTAGATAATCCCATGAAATAATCAAATTAGTAATATAGGAACAGTTAATCAAAACATCTTCAACTTTTTTAAAATTTCCTCTTTCTTCCTTTCATTTTATTCCTGTCAACAAGTCATTAGAGGATAGTGCTTGGTGAAATGGTAAAATGATCAAGCTGCCAGGCCGGAGAAAACTGTTTGAGTAATAGAGCAGTCAGAGCCTATAGTAGCTTGTTTTGACCTGCGGTTTAAATGAAGAAAAGGACACACCACTCAACCCTGCCTTCCATAAAGAGCAGAAGCATGGAAAAAGGAAGGAGACCATGGAACATCCTTGGCATAAATTATTCCAAATGTTAGGTTTGTATCCGTTCAACCCCTTATAACACCCTGCATTGGCAGTATCAACATTAAGTGATGGCCTTTTAACATTTTTCATCATTATGAATATAATTGCTAATCAAAATGTTATCAAGCGCATGGACTTTAGGGGAAAAACAGTGACGAAAGTTGGCAAGAAAAGCCTTCTAATAGATTTAGTCCATAATAGTTTGTCTCTAAGTTAGTCATTGCCAATGGAATTACATTATTGAAAGTGATTCTATGGCATTACGAATCTAGCTTCCAATGTCCTGTTTCATGTCTAAAGGGATATCCATGACCAGGCTTAGTAGATGTGGGTATTAACTTAATCTTCTAGTCATTTCAAAATCTTCTGAATTTAATGCTTCTCAACACTTCATTCTCTGACTTTTCCATCATGTTCTAACAGTGTTCCTTTTATATTTCGGTCCAATGTGGGTCTAGAAAGCATGTGCCGAGTTGCTCTTATCATATCAAGTGTCTTTATTGAATCAATTTCTCACAACCATCTCAAATCAAATTCCTTTTGTATCTTTCCATACATTTTCACAATGCTCCTAGCCATTGAGTTTCCTTTCCTATCAGGAATATGTTGGAGATGAGAATTACATCCAACTGTGGAGACAGTTTGATGAAGGTATATATGAAAGATAAGGGTACGAGCTACGCTTATGATGTAGCTCAGTTGATAGGCCGTAGTCTTTTATTTTGAATTTTCTAGTTTTTTAATCTTATGTTGGTTATTTATCATAACATATGATGTGAGGGAGATCCACATCCTTAAGTAGTCACATAAAAAGCACATGGCATTTTCAACTTAAATGATTTTGGTAACTTGTCACAGCTTGAGGATGAGTTTATTCAGGTGGAGTCACTTGTAGAGGATGATACAAAGCTCCACATGGAGTTGATGGTGCCATCTGGACTCCCCTTAGGCTAACTTAAGTTGCAGAGTAATGGTGTTTTCAGCAGAACCTTTTTCAGTTCATTTCTGCCAAAGTGACCACAAAAGAAAAACTAGTTATAGGTTTTCATCACTTATACTCATGAAGGCCCTTAAAATGGATTCTTAAATTCTGCTTGTTTATGAGTTATTGCATCACCTTACAGTGAAGAATTGGAATTTCGCGGCCATGAGATTATTGGTCTTTAAAAGGCTCTCTATGCTTGTCCCATTAAATTTTTTCCTAAGAATAGAGTGCATACCTTAAGATGTTAAAAAAACAGTAACATTTCTTTTTGCATTCTTATTTTCATATGCATGAGATTTTAATGGATAAAGGTCGTACAGTCGTACTTTGACTTATTTTTGGCCTCTCCTTTGCAGGGTTGATGCTTTTTTGAGTAGTGATCAGAATCGCTGTGCCAGTAAACTTCTTTCTGCCTATACAGAAGGTGATGTCGAAGAAATCAAACGTGTGGCTCAGTCAAACATTATATCAAATCTTGACCACATGGTAGATATTTTGAACCATTTGAAATCTATTGTTTGTTACGTACTGCATCATCAACCCATCTCATGTCACATTGTAAAAACCGGGTTTAGTTTTACTTGTTCATCAGTTGATATTTCATCCATAATTCCTGTTTCTTTCTTTCTTTCTCCTTTTTGTTTTTTGGTTGATAAGTATAATTCCTGTTTACCTCAGTATTTTTGTTGATATTGATGCATAACCAATTTTTCTTTCTTGAAAGGAGAGTAAATTATTTTTGATGGTCTTGGTCATTCTCAATTTATTACTTTCAACTTATACTAATACATATTTTGTTAACAATACTGTTTTGTCTTTTAACATGCGCAAGCTGGGTCAATAAGCTGTTCTAATTTCTATTACCTATTGGGACTGCAATATGGAGCTCACTTTTGCCTAGTTGAACTACTTATAAGATATTTTTATTGAACTTCCTGCTCATCATTCAATCTTCCTTAGCTTAATATTAGATTCCTTGGTTAGCTGTGGGAGGTTCTTTAATTGTTATTTTGAGTTACCACACTATACACATCATCCTTCACAGTATCTTTTTTCTTCATAGCTTGTACATGTATCTAGTAAGCTCATCATTGACAGGCAGAAACTATTTTGCGTGTAACATAGAACTCTTCCATCATAGCAGTGATTGTGAGCAACAACAAAAATATTAATAATTTTTTTTCACATAAATTGATTCCATAAAAATCAAATTTCATCAGAAGCTTTGTCTTGAATTGTAGGGGAAAAAAAATAAATTCTTATTATATCTGCAATGATCTGGCAAAAGAGGGATTAGTTAGAGTAAAATTTTTATATAACAAATTACTCTTTAAGTTGTGCACTTACTTATTCCCTTTTATGACCACCAAGGGTTATGGAAGGTTGAGGGTTCAAGTCCGCATAGAGGTAAGGTGAGTGTGAGATATATGCCAAGACACACACAGAGACACACACACAAAAAATATATATATATATATATATATATATATATATAAAGAAATTCCTTCCTTTGCATTAATTCTGTAAGATTGGATGCATACAACACAAATCTCCAAGTTGTGATTTGTAATATTTTGTTCTATCCTTTGTTATGACAAATTAATTTTGCGTGTTATATTACTAGGGTCAGATTTGCCCCCCTCATTTTCATCCAAATAGTTCAAAAGGTTAAGAGTCTGCTAGATTACAGCATAATAATAGTCTTAGTGTTGCATTTTTTTCAATATATACATAGATACACAAATGCTTGCGCGCACATACACGTGTGTATATATATTTGAATTTGGAAAGGTGGACAGGATGTAAATCTGGTAGTTAGGGAAGAAGTCTGCTCTCTTTAACCCAACAATTTAAAAGTTTCTGTTAATAGTGTTATCATTACTATTGTTGATGTTATTATTAGTTATTGTTTGGGACAAAGATGAGGATGATGGTGATTATTGGTTATTAAAATTTTATGAGTTAGGAAAACGCTTTTAATTATATGGATGGATTCAACTGAGTTGAAATTTCTGCAGATCATCAGGCTTGCAAGGAAGCTCCCTATGGGTGATGTGAGTGCACTAAAGAACGATGCAGCTGACGAACAAGAAGCATTGGACGAAGATGACCTCACCTAATTTATCCTATTCAGCTCGACATGATTGACAGACTTTGTTTTACATGTGTGTGGGTTATTCCTGTGCTTTTATGTGCTAAATATGAACACAAAACACAAAGGTGCAGTATGATATATACGGAGTGCAATTGTTTAATGTTACTGAATGTAACATACAAGTCTTGAATAGGGAATTCTTTTTTTTTTTTTTTTTTCTCTCTCTAAAGGGGAACCAAAGCATATTTGCTTTCAGTTTTGGTTGATATGCAGCAGGAACCTGGAATTGCTTTGGCATATTTGCCTTTCCCACTATCCTTTCTCATTCTAGACACTGGATCTTTGTACTTGTCATATTATATATTTGCATATAAGATTTTAATTTTGTTGCAACAATGGGACCTCCTTCTGTGCTTATTTGTTTGAAATTACATCAATTTATATTGAAATGTTTTGTGCTTCCTTATTTTAACAGAGCTTCTACCTACATACGGCAATGCTTTTAACAGTTTAGAATCAATTCTGGCTACTTGGTATGTGATTGTTGAGTCACTGCATCGCCTGTAACTGATTAGTGAAGAGAATTGGCGGGAAAACTCCAAATCAGAAAATCCGAGTCTTCCCAGTCTTGAATTTGAGCACAAATGGACATGAATAGACAAGATAATCAAACTGCTAAAGAGACAGCAAAATTAACTTAATAATGTCGACGCAGATTAACTAACAATGTTAGTGACCCCGAAGATTCATGTTAGATAAGTGCGAAAGAGGGATGAACGGAGTAGTAGTTAAAAATGATAAGTGCGAAAGAGGGATGTAGTAGTTAAAAACGATTTTGTTTTTGTTTTTAAATAAAAATTCCAATATAAGAGGAGACATGACTTATTTTAAGAGGCTGCTCTTTTCTAATATCCATTTGTAAGCTCGTCCTTTACTTCAAAGGTTGAGTTATGATAAAATAAAATAAAAATAATAAAAAGGGTTACAATGTTACTACCTAATACACTGAAATGGGTCTCAACATTTGAAAAAAAAAAATCTGTTCAAAACTTCTCTTTGATTCGTTATATTTTCATTGGCCGGGCATGCTAATGACATGGTATGCCCGGGTCACCCTATACCTAATCATCTCCGAGGGAAGTCCAAATGAACCAATCTCAAGGGAAGGCCACATGAACCCATAGTTGCATCTCATCACAACTCCTCCCCCTTATCCACAAGATCAAAAAATAATGATCTCCTCAGCATTCAACTTCTGGAAGAAAGAGATCAACTCTGGTTGGGTGAAAAACAAGCTAGCACTTATCACTGATTTACTCGTAATATTTCTAACAAAGGGAATAATGGTCCTAGAATTAAATGCTCTAATCTCTATTTGCTTCCTCAAGCTTTTCAACTATTAAAATCTTTAGTCAGTCCATACACATCAATTACGAGAGTGAGAGACAGAATTCTAATAAAATATAATAAAGGCAAGAATTCCAAGAATAGTTAGATTTATAAATTTATTTTTTTTCTAGTGTACAAGAAGCCTTCCCTGCGATAGATTTATGGAATTGTAAAAAGACCAAAATTTATATCATGAGTGAGCACAGCGCAAATATTGCGCATGTAACTCAAGCCCGTGATCTCTCCTTCCTATATAAATTTTTAAAAAGAATACCCTCTAACAAATAAGCTACTGAAATAAGATGCTACCTTGAGCAAAAACGAATTACCGGAACTTATTGGCTTCCTTATTTACACGTTCTCCGGATCACTTCATTCAATGTTTCGAGTGCCACTCTCCATTCAGGGCTTCTTGACTCATTGCACATAATGCTGTGCATTATTTCTAGTTCTTCTGGATTTGCCTTCTTTAAAAATCCTTGTAGTAAGGACTGTAACTCTTCATCAACTGAATGATTTCCAGTACCTAAAACTGAATTATCAAAAGAAGTTGCCTCCACTTCCCGTACAGAGCAACTTGATGCCAAAGGGCACTTCTTGGCATTGCCATCATTGGCGGAAGTCGCTGGCATTTCAGGGACGTTATTCGAATACTCCTCCACCTTGAATGTAAGCTTGTGATTCCAGTACTCCACGCATTGATGATTCGGATCAAGAGCTTCAATAGCCTGACAATACTCTTGTTACCATCAGGATACAATATTCAAAAATTATAATTGGCATCAGATGTGTTGCACAAAATTTATGACAAGGATCAATATAGTTGTGTCGGTGTTATGTGCGGCAACCCATCCACTTCCCTATCCACTCAGCCAAACAGAGGCCCTTAAAAAATTTGAGCACGAGACATTTAAAAGTTGTATGGTTCTTGTTACCCTTAGTCGAATCAGATGAACCTTCTAATTAATCACAAACGGTTTTGTTTTTACTGAAGGACTCTTGTCCTGGTGAGGAAGTCTCTTGGGTGAAATTTTGGTTCCAATTGAAATTTTTTATTCTAATAAATAAAAAAGGTAATTTCTTAGTCTACCCAATGGATGTCACGATTAAGTTTTGAACTAGCATACTAGCCATTAATGATTTTAATTAAGGGGCATTAAGGTAAGCTTACATGAATGATGGTTGTGGAGAGAAACCCAAACATTTCAAGCCCATTGATGCTCTGTGGATGCTGCGAGGGTGGCATTCCTTGCTTTCCTAAGCTGCTCTGCCTACTGATTTCTTGATTTAGTCTTTGCAGCACCATTTCCCAGCATTTCTCTGGTGAGAAATTTGTGAAGGACTCGCTTGGACACTCTTCCAAAGTAACCTGAAATAAACATCAGCAAATGAGAGAAAAGTCGACAACAAACTACAATTTTTTGGGGTGTTCGGATGTGTATACTACTTAAAAGATGTGATGCAGTGAAATATGTACTAAAATGTTTTTAATTCTTAAAAATAGTCAAGAACATCGTTAGATTGTAACAAACAAATTTTATGAGTCTCTGACAAGACCAAGCCTTAGGAAGTAAAGGAACTCGGGTTTCAAGTATTTTAAAAAGTTAAATTCACTAGAACTCAGTCAAATGTGAAACAATATTTGCAGAAAAATCTAAGTTTGTAGTTTCTGGTTATGGCATTTAAAGACATATAAATTCTTACCTTAAATAAAGGCCCAAGGAGCCCAGCATCCAGTATTTCTGATATATAACTACTCATTTCTCTTGGATTGAGCACGCTAAAATATTTAACACGGCTTCTGAATCCTGTTACAGTGAACCAAATTTCAAACAAAATAAATCAGTATTTTTCAACATGTAGTTCATAACACTAGACTAGAAACTTTTAAGAAAAAACATGTAAATGCCCTACAGCGGCATACCTTTTGAGTATATTGCCTGCTTATTGCACCACATCTTTCCGAACACTACAGATCCATAATTTATAGGATTAACACAGAAGTTCAACTTTTGAATAGGACTACTTTGGCCAGTAAGAGATACCTTTACATCTGAAGGGTTGCCATTCTCAGTTTTCGACAAGTTGGTCAATGGAACACTTGAGTGTTGATGCAAAACCGAAAAATCAGTCTCAAACAACTTGTTAATATCAGATGGACAACAATTCACATTACTACCAAGTCGCATTATTTCTGGCTCTTTCTGTGCACCAGAACTACAATTTTCTTCTTCAATACACATTGACATTGTTTCAGCCGTGTCCACCATAACCTTGTTATCAAAACTGTCTGATACTTGCTGCAACCCACTTACATGCTCATCAGACATGCTATCAAGATTCAAATCGATAAAGCGTTCCTGCCCTGCCTTACCTTCATCAGTTAAGACCTGAATTTCTTCTTTGTCCTCATCTGTCACGAGGTGAGAAGCACCTAAACTAAAAGCTCCTCTCTGGGTTTCTGACTGGACTACTTCTGAAAGAGCACGACAATGCGAAGAACTGCAAGGTTCACTAATATAAAGGTTTTCTTCTGTTCTGGGAGAACATGATGGACTTTCCTTTTGTTTGGGAGAGTTGATTTCGGATGTCTCTCTCTCCTGATTCAGCTTACCAGATGTACTATCTTTGCCATTTACAGAAACCAATCCAAGGTCCTCTGATGCCCATGCTTTTACTGCATCCAATTCCCCTTCCAATGCTCTAACCAATGTGTTTAATTCATCCATAGTGTAGCGGAGCAGTACAAACTTATTGTGTGGTTCACATGAACACAAAAGATGTGCATGTTTAAGACAGGCAAAGCGGTCTATGGAGCACTTGCAGCAAGCAGCAGATAGGTGTAGGTCATAAAAGCATGAGAAACATTCTCTCTCATCTTTCAAATCAAAGTCTCTCTCCATCTTTTGAAGTCGTATGCTAGTTGGAAGATGTTCTATTCTTTCCTGCTCAATCCGGAGCCTTGTCTGAAAAAGGTGGAAGTCATAAAAATTACCTTAACAAAAATTTGATAAGTGCATAAGCAGCTTCCACCATAAATGCATGCACAATATGTATCACGTCTACAGCAATACATGTGCATAAATACATCAACACGAAAATGGATTTGAGTGTAAGCATTTGTATATGCATCAATTTACCTTAACTGCCTGGGTAAGTATCCCATCCTTCCCGCATACATTTTGCCAACTCAAATTTCCCAGTTTTTCTTTTTTGAGAAATGATAGCTCCCAAAGGGTGCGGATGGCTTCTCTAGCTGATGCTAATAGCAACTTGTCATGGGAGATTGATGTCCTGCGGCGTTGCTCACTATAGAGCTCTACTGCACTTTGCCCATGTTCTAACCAATCAACTGGGGCCACATTCACAGCCTCTGCACAATTGAAGCCACAATTAAATCCAGAATGGTATGCCCTTGGAAAGGTAAGGACAAACTCCCCAGAGTGCTGGACAGCTCGATACACTGGTACACCCTCAGACTTTAGAACCGAAGGGGATAGCTGAGTGACCTGCCACAACAAAAGAATCATAAACTTAATGCATCCCCAATTAATACAGAGATACAGTTGAGATAGGAAAAGAATAGCAAGGTTATGACAAATGCCGCGAACCAAGGACAAATCAAGAATCGCAGAAAAGTAAACATGCCACACGCAAAAGAACACAAATATTTACGTGGTTCAGCATAAAGTCTACATCTACAGTGAAGTTCTGGCAAAAGATTTCACTATTCGAAAATCAAGATATTACAAGTTTCAGCCCCCAAAACCCTAGCTCTCTCTCTTATTCTCTTTCCTGCGGTTTTCAGTATTCTCTTATATCCCACTTAAAACCCTACGCGCCCTTATATGCTGGGTTACAAGAGAATCCTAGATAGGGTCCAAGACACGCAAGAGAAAAAATGGGTTTTGCACACACAAAGCCAATTTTTTGGGTGTCGCGACCTGGTCGAAACAAAATTCGGGCCACAACATCACACAGGCAATAGAAGCTCTCGTAATATCTGAACATAAATGTGATGAGAAATAGTGGAATTGAGTGCGGTGATACCTATTTTCAGTCAAGTAAAATTAAATGGACAAAACCAGGAAAAAGTGAGGCTACAAAATGACATATACCCAAGACACTTGTTGAAATGATGAGTGTCAAGACGTGTCTGGCAACAATTTGGACAGTGTTTCCACCTTTATAAAAATTTCATATGTGCCCAGACACACTCACACACACAAACAGAGAGAGAGAGAGAGAGAGAGACATAACTAACTGTGCTTAACTTATTTCACTATGCAATAATTAAAGATGCAACAGTCCCCATGCATAATCGAGTGAAAGAAATATATGCGATCTATCCAAGCCTAACCGAAGCATAGAAATACCACTTACCAATTCATGAAGTAAATCTGGTTGTTCTTCAAACAAATCTGGTAGATGCTTTCTCATTGCATTCTCCAATGCAGAAGCATGCCTTCCAGGAATTCCATACCATATTTTTTTATCACCCCAGTGTAGATAGTTCAGTGAGTAGAGATGGTGGTCCTCGACATGCTTTTCCCAAAAACAAGAGAAATACCAGTCAATCATCAGCTCAAAAAAAGAAAACTGATTAGCTTTTCAGCTTAATGCAAAATTTTGTTTCTTCATAATGACAACAACAAAAATTGGCTTTGCTGCTGAAGATAGCATGAAAAAAATTGTTGATATTGCAACAGAAAATTTTGCCTTAATAGAGAAGAAGTTATGGAAACATTGCCAGTGCAAGTACTGGTTTGTGTTTTGCTACAAAAATATTCTTAGTATTTAATATTTTTCTTTTATTTTTGTAATAAAATAATATTTGTATGTAGCATAATGTTCAAAATAGGCATTTCACTTGTTTTGGAGCAATAATCTAATAGAAGCAAATTAACAGATATATGATTTTCAGTTTCATGCCGAAACAAATATGTTGGACACATATCCCATACTCTTGTCTGAATATCTTGTGCCCAACACGGGTACTTCATGTGCTTTTGAAGAGTCCATGTATCATAACTGAAGATAAACATTGTAATTACAGGTGAAGAATGCTTTTGGAGTTTGTTTGCAAGGTAGAAATAAAAGGTTTAAAATCATAACAGATAATACATTTTAATCTATCTTCTCTGGTAGATAAATTTTCAAGAAAATGAAGGATGAGCATTAAATTGTCGAATTTTTTTTCTACAATCCTCAATAATTCTTAAGAATTCTGAATAGTTCCAGATGCTCAAGCAGGGCAACCCTTTATCACCCAGGTTATCATTATTGTCACACGAGTTCATCCTTTTTCTAATTATTGTAACACATGTTTTTAGTGGAATTATTAAAAAGTTGAAGTATAAAATGTTAGTGGAGGGAATTTCAAATGGTGAGCGGAGCCCTTGGTGGTCCACCTTCAATTTGCATACTGGTGTTCTCTACTTCTATGCATGATCAACTTTATATGTTGAGACATAGAATGGACATTATGATGAATTGCCGGATTTTAAGATTGATAAGGGACAGGTTTCTTGGTTAAGTGACTTGGAAAATATTCTTAAAATTGGACATGGATCCTCTAGACTGTCCTCTGGTTTCCGCTGGTGCATCCACCGCATAGAAATCAATCTTCACTTTATTGATTTCATGGTACAATGCTATCGACTCGATCACCAGGGAAAAGAACAGAGAACAACAGAGAAGATCTGTGTCCTCATACTTAAGGTCATCAGGGTGACAAACTTGTTTTATTTACCCTTCTTGTTTGCTATTGAGTTCAGAAAACATTAGGAATTTCATATTATGTGGTTGTGGGCCATTGTACTAGCCATAGGTATCATTCGTTAATAATTGGACCTTGTTATATTAATGGGGCTATGTGCATTACTGTAACTAGGTCTTGTGTTATTCTTCAATTTATCAACTCTAGAACTGCCTCCATAACCCAAACCCTTTGGTTTGCCCCTTTTCCCAGGCATTTAACAACCTTAAATAGCTGGCATCTAGAATTTGCAATAACACGCACCATGAAATACCAAAAACTTCTCACCATCAAAACCTAGCCTATTCAGTCACTTTTCTAAGTTTTCTTTCTATAAACCTACAACCTTTCTTTCACCTTTTAGAAAACTCTGAACCAATAAGATTTTTATAAACTTAATCCACCAAAAAGAATACCAGTAGGTAGCATTGTTACGCATCTTTTCATGCTATTGTATTATCTTCACTGCTTCAACGAGTGAAAGGTGCAAGAGTAATTTGCAACCTTGTAAAAAAGCTTAATATTATTACATTGGCTCACCCAAAAATTTTAGATGATAAATTGTAGGCTCAATGGTAGATCTTAAGTTACTCATGTATAATGCGCAAAAAGAAAATAAAAGGCAAAAAAGAGAACAAAGAAAGTATGCCAAACTCAAAGTTCGTGGAGATTAAATGAAGATATGGGCCTAGATTGATTAAAAGAGATTTTCAAGCTATATAAATAAATAATCCACATGCAGCTTTTTATTGTTGACGTGATATTTTTGTACTTGGGTCTTTACCAAGGTCCAAAGTCCTAAAAAATCAGGTTGTTTGAGAATACCAACCATAGAATTGGTAATAGGTTTATGAGTGGAACTTCAACATCCCAATGTCAAGGGCAAGGACTAGTACCAAGATATCAGGATGCTACTGTTTGAGAAAATTTAGAAGCGGCATACTAATGCACTACAAAATTCTGACACTATCATAAGTAATCATGCCAATAAGGAGACAATAAAAGGAAAGAAAAAAATTATTTTGGGGCCTAATGGGATTTTACAAAAGTTAGACAGTAAATGTAAGGTAATATACTGGCTTCTAAAATCAAATGACCGCATCATTTTCGGCTTCATGAATGAAACTTAAATCACAGCATTTCCTATGACTTACCCAGCAAAATGATGAGAAGCACATCCCAACATAGAGCCATGGCACTAGAACTCCTGAGATATCACATCCTTCAAAAGATAGTACAGAACCTGGCAGGCGTGGAAAATTATTTAAATTCCAACCTGAAACCATGTATTGATCTGATTCACTATTTCCTGTCAGCAAAGATGATTTCCTCGGGAAACCACTACCGAAAGCTCCAGTTTCCAAATCAGCTCCATAGTACACCTGCAATTTTACAGAATAAAAATATTCATAAAAAAAAAAATACAGGCACAGATAAAACACATAATCAAGAATAAGCTATTTGACTACAATATTTCCATACCTCAACCTCATCTGTTGGCTGCTCAATGATCCGCCAATACTCGCCTTCAATATCTCCAACTGAGGGTTCCCAATGCTTGTCTTCAATCGCATTATCGTGTGAGTCCTCCCTATTCATCCCAAAATAACACTTTTTGAAATGATTGGCGAGTTTCTGAAAATCTTCAAATGTAAAGTCTGAACCAGACTGGAACCCAAACTTCTTGTCAGTGTCAAAAGTAATGCTTCCTTCAGACACTTCAGAAGTGGTATGTCTCTTGTTAGTTCCTGTCCTTGAATACCTCCTTCGTTTTCTCTTCCGGCCTCTGCTTTTCTTTATCATGGGTTCTCTATTTTGAAGCAAGTCAACTTGCTGAACCCGAGTAGAAAATTTAGCATGTTCCCAAATACTTTTGTCCTTAAGAGGGCAGGGTGGAGTCCAGGAAGGAGGAGGAACAATCCTACATATCCCATACGGTTCTGCTTTTGGGCGTATCTTTGCTATGTAACCAATAGTATCTTGGAATTCCTAATGATGGAGCATTACATAAAAACAAAAAATAATAATTAGGAATTAATCAGTCGATAAATTAACTAATTAAAATTGTACCACTGAGTGACCAAAAGACATACAATCTCCATTTTTAGACCAACAAGAAAAGAAAAAAATTATACCTCATCAGTTGGAGAAAATACAGGAGCTTCATCTATGATGGGCCTGCACGCTTCACCAGGATCCCATCTAGCTAATATCTGCTTTAAGAAGTAAACAATGTTGTCACTTAGATAAGCTTCACAAGAATGGAGGAAACAGTTAAGACATGTTTTCACTCTCAGAAAAAAGTTAACTCAGGCATGTCACTTGCAACAGCAACCAATATATATATATTGAAAGCATTTTGAACTTCTGGGAGAAACTTATAGGAAACAAAGTGGACTAAGTTTACTTTTATACAAAATATTTATTAAATATTGATTGAATCAATCGGAGAAAGAAGACATATATGAATAAAAAGTATTCCACAGCGGAAACATTCAAGGGATCTAACATGGACTAAGCAATGTTGCTGATGTGACAATTAAATTGAAACAACATTTAGTTTAGTACCTTTCGACTTTGAGGACTGCTTGAGCACTCAAGGCTGTTGTCATTTTTCTGGGCATGCCTTGAAGGTTGATCCTGCAAAGGAATTTTAGTTAGTATCTTACGTGAATCAAGTTCCATTTTTTTTTTTGACTTACTAGGAATTCTACCTGTACATGAAACTAACACATAATAATTATAGGTAATTTATGACATGCAAGGCAAATTGCAATTGGAAATGTATGGCAGAGTACACATTAAGCAACCTAGTTTCATATATAAATGTGATAAATACATATTATCTTCTAAAAGGTATAGATATAATAAACAATTTATTGTGACAGTTAGAATTTTCAATCTATTCTTAACCAAATATGACAAACTACTAAAAAATTACAAATTCAATTTCAGACAAACAATTATAAAGGACTAAAAATGATATAATAAAATTCCAAAAATGGTAATTAAATTATTATTGCACTAAAAATGATATGCTAAAATTCCAAAAATGGTAATTAAATTATTATTATTACTTTTGTGGAAAGTTCATTTCAATTAAGAGAGTAAGAGGTGAGAGATTTATAAGCACTTTATATGGTTCAATATAGGGTGGTATAAACATAAATGTGCTATTTTGAGGAAAATTACAGTGCCAAAACAGAAAAATTGTACGTACAACTAACAATAAGGCTTCGTCAATTTTGATGGAAAGTAAAGATTTGCTTATCTGAATCTATATATTATCATAAAGCTTAGGTTTCATTTGTTTCATATAATATATTTAAGGCTGAAAAGAAAACAAATAATAAGTGTAAAGAAATGCTATTGCAAAATGCAAAGTTAGATGCAGGAGATGGTGAATTTCCTCAATCCCGTTGTAAGATTTGCACCATGGAGCCCTTAGAAAAGGATTTTCAGAAACCACTATTTTAGAAGCAAACTAAGACTTGGGGTAAAATTATTATGCCTCTTTGGTTAGCATGGGGATACACTGCTTCATACTTCGTAAGGACGATGTTTCCTTAACAGATGGAATCTATGTCGGGGAAAAAAGTTAGTTATGGTCATATGAGATAAATTTGGGAATGATAGGGTTATAAATCATTGGATTTATATGCATATAAAAAATAATAAATAAATAAAAAGAGGCAGCATGTAAACCAAAGATCAAGCAAAGGAAAATCATAAACCTTCATGCTTTTCCAACAATAAGGTTCTGCTTTGGAGCGTTTATCAAATAACCGATAATCAATACAATTTCTACGCCGAAGGGACCATTTAACTTTTACTTCTTCGTAATGGCTAATACAGCATCCATTTGCAGTGAATCTGGCTCAGTGGTTGTTTCCATGCCTGAAACTGCTGAAGGGGCATTGCATCCCTCCTTAGCTACAAAGCTTATCAAGGAGACTATTTGCACAATCTGAAATTACTGGATACCCTTCACTGAACCGATTCTTGATGCTTTTACTACCAAGAATTTTAGCTGCATCACACAGAAATGACTAATGAGAATGACAAAGAGAGCTACGTACACGATCACATGGAAAATATAAAAAGCCCTAACCATACTTGAATTTAAAAAATTTAGACAGAATAAATAAGTTTATAAATGAAGAATTGTTTGTCAGCAGCTAAAGATAATAACAAGAACCCATGTACACAAATAGGGCCATGGAAGATAAACTTCTAAATGGTTTTAACAATTTCAATGGAAAGGAAATTGAAAACTAAGTTAAGATGGTCGCATCCATTGCAACAATATATAAACATAACATAAGGCCACAATTTTCTCAGGTTAACATTCCTTCTAGAAGATCTCGTTAGCGATACTACGCAAGCCGTAGGACTGAAATTATATAGAGAATAAACAGTAGTCATATCGACATTAGATAAAGAAGACTTGTTTGGTAAGAGACAATTCTATAGTCAGTGTTAAACTCTTCAAAACTAATGGTTCCTTATCAAGCAATGACGTAGAAAGTAAAGGTATAATTTGAAACAGAATGGAAGTCATGAAAGCAACTCAAGACTGGTAGGAAAAGAGCACAGAACTGAGCTTCTATACATCATTTGATAATGTCATTCATGTAGCTTAAGAACTAAATATATGGCAAAAAGAAAAGTTCAATTTGCAAGTATATCTGAAATATATATATCAAAAGTCCATTTTGATAAAATAATAATAATAATAATAATAAATTCAGTTGGTTTTACATGCTACAGATTTTGATCTTGAGGTTGGGTACACAATACAAATCAATAACCCTAGAATGATTTGCAAAAGTAATTTCTTTCCGGGAAAAAAAGAATAAAAAAATAAGTTGTATTTGTCACCATGGTTTAGACAGAAAACAAATTGAAGTTCAAGACACAAGAGTTTATCATTGAGTTTTGGCATGTAAAGGCATGTTGTTTAGCTGTATCATTACAACCCATTACCAACCTCATTGCTTCATTTTCTTTTTCCTCTTTAACTTGAATCTAAGAATTGGGGATTTAATAACCACTTCGGCTGTCCATCATGCGGTTTCTATTGAAAAAGAAGGGATCTGCAGAGAACTATAGATAACCTGTCTCTTCTTCTCTGTTTATCGCCAAAGATTAATAATTGATTGAATCTTACATAATGCTATGACTTCTCCAATTCTAACATTGCTGATGGACGACATAAGATCACTTAAAAGATATATTATCTCTTCACTCAAGAATCATCTCAAACCATCTAAACTCTAAATAATTGGATTAATTAAGGAGGGGTAGCCCAATGCACGAGGTTCCTGCCACTATGGTGACCATCTAAACTCTAAATATGATGCAAAAGAAGATCGGTCGCGTGACACCATCCCTCCAGAAAGAGGGCAGATTAAACCATAGTTCAATATAGTCATTACACCATATACGCAACATTTTACAATCTTATCATTTCGAAAACTGATCTATCAGGAAAGCATGATATCCACGTAAAGATTGCTACTGTTGCAGGAATGAGGATAATAAGCACATTATAAGCTAACTATTACACAGTTATACGAAGGAAAAAAAATAAAATAAAATAAAAAAAAAAATAAAGAGAGGTGCAGATTTTATTCAAGCATACTACGAGGAGAAATTAATTACAATGCAGTAATTGGAATTCCTTAAGTTGCAAGGATCAATAAGAAACACATTTGGTTAGACAGGTAAAAATAGACAGAATCAATATGAGAAATCTAACCTCTTTGATTTGGAAAAACTATTGCAATAACAACTGTTCTATTCACTGAGAAGAAATTATGAACCCTAATCTATCAACTGTCCACAGCCAAAAAAAATTAAAAAATTACAGAACCCTTTTCATGACCTACCCAACACAATACAGACCCATTCACCAAAAAATATTATTTTTGGCACAACACCAATTAAAAATTAAAATTCAAGAACAAGATTGTATCCTATACTGGTCTGACAAAGAACCAAACCCCCAAGAAAGAAAGAAACAATTTTAACCCAAAAAAAATTAGAATCCCTCAAAGAAACAATACATAAAAGACTCACATGCATAAATCAATCCAAACCCAATTAATATAAATAAACTTTTTGCCAAAAATTCTGTGAACCAAAATATTCAAAGGGTACAAATCAAATTTAAAAAATAAAAAAGGAAAGAAAAGGTACAAATTAATTAAGTAAAATAATATTAGATATGGCACAAAAACTTAATTGGTGAATGTGAATGTGAATGATGATGATTAGAACAGAAAACACAAGTAACATTTTCAAAATATATTTAATACTACTAAGAAAGACAAATATGATGAGAAGTACTTAGAATTTTACCTCAAAAAAAGCTAAAAAACCCTAAAATTCCACGTTGAAGCAGTGTTGCTTTTTTGTTATATTGTCTTTGTATTTAAATATGTTTTTTTAATAATAATAAATAGAAATAAATATTACTGTATTGCATAGGGACACAGTAATAATGGTAAGATAAACTCCCAAAACGCGGAAGTTGGATCTAGAGAGAGAGGAAGGGATGGGTTTTAGAGTGAGAAAGAGGAGGTCAACCAAAACTGAATGACTGGCCGCACCACGTACGCACGCGCGTATTTTAACTGACATCTGTGAAATCAATCTTTGGTTCTGAACAATGACGCGTGTTCAGTTGTGGGTCCTCTCCTTGGACAACACGTACAATGAACTGTACAATTAGAACGTGATTGTCCTTTATATTATAGGTTATTACTATCATGCCACGGACCAGTTTGGTTGAAGAACTTGTTATGGCCCCTTCGCCAAGTGAGGAAAAATGTGGAAAACCAGCTCAGAATTGATTTATATGTTTTTTAAGGCGGTAATTAAAGTCAAATGTTATTAATGCTCTTTATTTCCTTTTGTGGTTGAATTTGTTGAGTTACTTGAGTATCGGCAAATTACGATACTAAGCGTCAACTCGATTTTAACGCAACTCGTGATAAATAAATTTGAGTTGATTTTAAACGGGTTTGAATCATAAATGGGTTAACACGATCAACCCGTTTATTTAACCGTGTCGGGTTAGGGTTGAGGGGTTCTACTCGTGTAATTCGTTTATAACGCGTTTAACTCAACATATTATAATCGTGAATATAACATATGTAATATATTACATGTTTAAACTCAATTATTATAAACAGTTAAGTCATTTCAACATAAATCTTAATTACGCCTTATAATTTTTCTTTTTATTTTGATTATTTTGATTAATTGTGACAAAATTTTTATAATATTTATTATTTGATTAAATATTAAACATCTCGTTTTGATAAATAGTTTAAACAGGTTAACCCATTTAATATACAGGTTGAGTTAATATTGAGAATTCTTGACACGATTATTAAGGTAAAGTACACTAATACCCCTGAGGTTTGGCATAAGAACAGGTAGATAAAAGTTGTCCTACTTTTGGACAATCACACCCCCTTAAGTTTGATAAAATGGACAAAGACACATGACAATGGTGAATTGATTTTATTACCCTTATATATTAAATTGACAAATGCAATTAACTTATATATCCTTAAATCAAATAAGTTTAAATGGGTTATTGGGTAAAACCCATCTGCTAAACCCAAAATCCTAACCCACTTCTTCTCTTTCCCCTCTCTTTCAGACGGTCAGACCTTAACCCAAACAACTAGTAAAATATATATATATATATATATATATATATATATATGTCTGTATAAAAGTACACATATATATATCATCACCACCACAAATCACGCACACAAATATATCATCACCACCACAAATCAGATATTTGCAGAGTGCTGCTGCCGGATTTCCTTCAATATTTGCAGAGTGTAGCTTCCGGCCGGCACCCATCACCTCAGTCCCCTGCAACGGCTAAATCGGGTTCACGTTTAACTCCAGATCGAAACTTGGCGACTTCGCAGTCGCTGGAAGATCCGAGAACGCTTTGTCGGTGGGGACTAACAGGGTAATTTCGGCACCACCTTCACGGGCTTCACCTTCGGATACCCCAACGTGGCGGCGCCACCGCACTCCACCTTCTATACCGCCACTTACCACCACCAATTTCATACCCACGGTCACCACTCTTTCCTCTTTCCTCTGCCATCTCATCGCCGCCGTCCTCATAATTGGAGTCATCTTCCTCATCGTCTAACTCGTCCTCCGCCCCTGCCTCCCTGAGTTCACGGTCGCCTCCACCACCGTCTCCCCTATCAACCCACAGCCTCCGAGGTCACCGCCACCTGGGACATCTCTCTTCTAATAAAAAGCCCTAACACCGAGCTCACCGTCGATGCCTCAATCTGATTTGTTATTGGGGTATATATATTTATCATATAGATATATATTTATATAGATGAAAATGGTAATTTGTTCATTTTAAGTATTTTGATATTTTATAATTAAAATTAAAAAAATAGTGAAGGGTAAAATAGACTTTTTATATGTTTTAAGGCTCTGTTTGGATGGCAAACTTCACAAGGGCTGTGATTGTCCAAAAATAAGCAAACTTTCACCTGTCCTTAAGTCAAATCTCAGGAGGTGTTAGTGTATTTTACCCTGATTATTAAATGGGCTGAGTTTGAATTTACCTGTTTAGTAAAATACCTTTACATCACAAATCTCAGGAGGTGTTAGTGTATTTTACCCTGATTATTAAATAGGCTGAGTTTGAATTTACCTGTTTAGTAGAACACCTTTACATCGACATAACACGATTATGAATCACGAATACGAATTGTCACCCTTACTTGAGTATACATGTGAAAGTAAATAATAATTTCGACTACTGTTAGATGTGGTGGTGAAACTCACTTGTAGGTGATTCAAGGTTGAGAGTCTCCGCCTACCATACTTCTAGAGTATTGTAAACTTTCTTTAGTGTGTGTGTGTATATATATATATATATATATATATATATGTATATGCCAAGAATAATTAATCCAACGCCAGATTGGCATGCTTCCTACATTGACATATTTACAATATTCCAAGTGATATCAGCACCTAGATTTTGTTTGTTTGGTATAAATTAAATAGCAAAGAAAATATAAGAAATGAAATGATACTAATAACTTTAGTTATATTTAAAAAAGAAAAATGATAAAGAGTTAATGCATTGTACTTTTTTATATTAATGTGGACGTCATTATCCATTCAAATAAATATAGTCAATTATGTTCAACTTTCAAATGATGTATAACAAAACGGGATATTACTATATATATATATATATATATATATATAAATTACTATATAATTTATTTTAAATCATGGAAGGATTTAGCAAGACACTTGTTGGATAAGACTAAATTATTTACAATTTTAAATGATTATTATTTTTTAGACAAACTCGAAAAGGACACGGTTAGTACTTAGGATACGCCAACGACATGGCCGGCGGATATGCAAGGAAACGGACGGGACTATTTTAGGACATGACGGGTCAATTTGTAAATATTTTTAAAAATTTATGAGGTCTTAGCTCAAATTTTGAAATCTATTGGGGCTAAAAAGGTAAAAATAAAATTAGTCTTAAAAATTTAACAACAATAAGTACTTATCTATCCGGGAAAACAAAAAATACAATACAAGCATATTCACATCTTCTTTTGCTTAAAGTTTTGTTCTCACAAAATATAAGCCAAATCAAGAATATGTATAACTTGTATAGGGATGTCAACTAGGTGAGTTTGGGACGGGGCACTCCTTTCTCAAATCCACCTTACTAACAGAATTTTTTTTCTTTAACTTGATTTGGGACTCCTCGCATTGGAGTCGTCGGGACATCCCGATATACATAAATTTTAAGAAAAACGATTCAAACTGGATAAATTTAAAGTAATTTTTGTAATTTTTTTTGTAATATAGTCAATTATTTAACAATTAAAAATATCATAAAAGAAATAAAGAAAAATAAAAATTATAGCCAATAAAAGAATATTTATTTAGATATTAATTATTAATTAGGGTAGGCTCGGGGCTTGGCAGGATTTAAACTCCCTTTTCAAACTTGTTCCTAACTATATTAGGATGATCACAAATCCGTCACATTATGAGCTGAACAGGTTATATATACGTTATTATTAAGAATTAAAGAAAGTTAATTTTTTTTAGAACAATAAAATATATATTGAGGTATTATTTGTGGGTCCCTATCCTTTTCTTTTACTGTAAAATTTAAGGTGCCCGCGCTTCATAGGAAAGGATAATAAATTCATAGTAAATTAGATGCCACCTCCAAAATTTTCTATTTTTTCCACTTCTTTATTTTTTCCTCCAAATCTTCTCCTCTGATTTTCATCAAAACAAACGAGTCCTTAATCAATGTACTACAATTGCTTTAGCAATTTTTTAAAAGATAACCTTTCGAAAAAAAAATTTTAAAAGATAAAGAAAGAGAGAGCATACATAGATAAAATATATTCATAAATATTTTCAAACTCGAGGTTTGACTAGGATTAACATAACTTGATCGGGAGATTTGGATTATTCAATTGTAATGTATTGACTTTTATATACTTTGTTGATTTGTTATTTTATTATTAATGCACCAAACAATAGTCCTTTGAATTGAATTAATCATGGCGGAAAATAAAATTCAATATTAGAAGAATCCAGATGATAAGTCTACGACATAGGTAGAAATGTTTATCATGCAAACTCAACAATATTATTATTATTTTTTTTTTAAAGAAAAAGTATAATAGAAGCTCATATATAATGCAATATTGTAATAAAGCCATTGACATGCAAGTTTTGGGTAACACAATATATTAGTAACCAAACAAGGTCACATAATTGATTTACACTTTTGAACTTGAAAATAAACAGAGGATAGATAGGGAGTGGATCCAATAATGAGAGGTTGGATCCAGTGGATCAAGGGACTACAGAATTGTTGATGGAGTTTGGGTAGTGAAGTCTGATGATGGACATCACATTGATGATGATCAAAAGGAGGAGCCCAATGAAGGAAGCGATAAGGGCCCCACTACCATGGTCACAAAAAGTATGGAAATTGTCGCAAATCTTGTTCCACCTTGCATGTGAATTCCCATTCCTCCCTAGCTCACCCATGAATGCTGCTGCACTTGCCCCACCCGATACTAGACCCAGTACCATCTGATAAATAAATAAATAAATAAAGAGATAAATAAAGAAAGAAAAAATAAAGGTGAAGTATTCTTTTTCTTTTTTTTTCTCCAAGAAGTTCAAGCAACCACAATGTTGCTCGACACTAGACAATTTTCAACATATCTCGAGTAGGAGAGATTATATCGGTCTCATTAGTCAGTGATAAAATTGTTAGCATTAACATAGATGCAATACACAGAAATGATCAAAATTATTTTTAGTGGAACAGTGGTCATGTTCCGTCTAATTAGTTAGCGAAGTAGATTACCAAAATGTTTTGATGTAGAATTGACCATCGCAATATTTTTGTAACGTATTTCACTAACTGAATAGAACATGACACTATTTTAAAGAAGAGATTTTTAATCCGCCAATAGTTAGAAAGAAATTTCAATTCAAATCTTGATAGAAGGAGTATATATATATATATATATATTCCTTTTTAGATGGTGGAAGATATATGGAGGGTCTGTTTTTGCAAAAATGAAAATCATGATCATTGATAAGAAGCACACGAAGAAAACCATCGTTGCTTACCATGTCTAGAACCGCGATTATTACAAAGCGGAATCCCTTGTAATCAAACTTGTCCCCAATGAAGTCCGCCACTAACATCAACATGTTATGAAAACTAGCCATCCCATTTGCTATTACAAAGAACCTGTTATATGATATCAGCAACCAATTTACATTAATAAACATATATATAATTGGGAAAATTAAGTACATAGTTACAACAGCATTACTATTGGAGGAAATTAATTAGTAATTAATTAAGAAAAGTGTGGAAAGGTTTACACAAATGCTGGGGTGTGTTGGAACTTGGCTGTGAGAGTGACATTTATGGGTGTGCTTCCAATAGTGGCCACCACCAAGGTTTTGGTTTCTTTGTTAAGTGCCATCACAATTGTTGCTGATACCGTGGCAAAAAATGTAATTATCCTCACTAATGGAATGAACTCAATCACCCAACCCTTTGGCTTTCCTACCACCACAACTTGGTTGCATCCAACCTCTGCTTTTTCTCCACCTTCTGAAGCCATGTGTGTGTGTAGGAGTGTGTGTGTATGTGTGTTATGTTGGTGGGGAGGGCTGGTTTAATATATATAGATCAATAAAGAGGGAAATGGATCACCTATATAATTTGTTTAGTCTAATAAGCTAATTTTATGGTTGTCATTTGTGTCTATAATTTCTATGGTCTGTCTAACCAACGACTTAATTTCACGCCTTATAGTGTTTAGTTGTTAAGAAATTTGAAGCCCCATCAGAAAGAGTATTAATTACGTTAAAATGTAGCCATTCATATATGTTTTCAGAGATGGCAACAAAAATCAATATTTTTTTTTTCCTCCCAATATTAAAATAAAAAAATTTCCCCAATTCTTTATAATTACAATCTTGGTTTAATAAACAATGGCCCAATTCCAACCAACAATCTTAATATCACTTAGTAAAATTACTCATGCGCCCTTGAAGATTAGTCTTTTCACCCATAAATAAAAGAATAAATTACACTGATCTCCCATGAAATTTGAACAAATTACACATGAATGGATCACGCGGATTTTACTTTGTCCGTCCTTGAGATTCGATATCCCTAGCATTTCTTCTCGATAGATCTGTTAACCAAATTCTAAAAATAACAATTTTATCCATTCCTTGACGCTCACACCAAACTTCAAGTAAAATTAGAGTAAATTTTACAATTTTTTTTTTTAGACAATACCTAGATTTACAACATACTCACCGCTCATGTGGATCAATAATAAATAGACACCTCCTATTTTAATTATCAAATTAGAAATGATGAATAGATATTCACTTACCAAATCAGAGATAAAAATTTAATTACCATTTATGATTTGGTAATTAAAATAAGACATATCTATTTATTGTTGATTCACATCAATGGTGAGTCTGTTCTATATCCTCGCTAGTATGGACATAAGTATTGTCTTTTTTTTTTTTCCTTATCATTTCTTTTCTTTTTATTTATTTATTTATTTTTTAAATGATGGATCGGGGAGGGGTAGAGATGGAGCCCTGAAGCTGGCCTAGCGCGGTATTAGACAGAGTCATAAGTCACACACAAATAAAAATAATTTTAATAAAGATTGTATATGTATCAATATTTTCATACTTAAAAGATTTTTATGTCAGCTCAAAATAATATGACACAAGAAGTTGTCCAATAGAGTAATTACACAGGTGACTGAAGAAGCAACACAGTCCACTTACTATCCTCTCAATGTACATCACAGTTAAATTTGATGAAACATTATAGGCAAACTAGTGATGTCAATAATAATCAGTCCAGTTCTAATATACACAACCTCCATCTCCATCTTCACAATCGACGAAAACAATGATTGAGCAATCAATTATATAAATCTCCAGTAGACATATCAGGGATCTCATCACTTTTTCTCTGTGGTGACGCCAACAACAACATTACTCACCTATAAAGTTCAAAATCACATATCATTAGTTAGTTCCACACACACACAAAGAAACTGAATGGAAAAGAGGGACGACAAGAAAAAGAACAAACAAAGTTACCAATTTGCCACTTTCATCAAGAGACATGGGATTCTCAACGACGACAGTTTGACTCTGAGAATGGGGCATTGCCTGCAAGAGTAAAACAGTGCTCCAAAAGATTATTTACACATCAACTTTGTCACAGAACTGCAAAGAAAAATTCTTAAATGTACAAACTACAATAATTCAGCTCACAAAACTTTTACTCAACTATTTGAAATACTGGGACAACTACAGCACCAAAAAAAAAAAAAAAACTCACTGTTGAACTAGAAGGTGTGGCTGTCCCGTTAGGTCTGTGCATAGGAATGGGGACCCTAACATTACCCATCTGCAAGTAAAAGCATATCAGGGACTAGAAACAAACATAATTCAGAAGCACCAACCACAGATTGAATAAGGTAACAGTAATATATATCTGCTAAATTGGACAACAACAAACCAAATCAGAGTCATTCATAATTACTAATATGGATGTTTTAAAATTCTTGGAAGTACATTCACTTGTGCATCTAGCACATATTAATTTCTAAAACTATGACAAATGAACCCAAACAGTAATAAATTCAAAAGCATTATTATTGTTACTTTGGTTGAGGGAAGGGACATGTTATTTAAACCTAACAAGAACCAGGCAATCAAACCACTCAAAATGAATCTTAAAACAGGCAAGCCCCAAGACCACCCCCTTCCAAAAACAAGTTATTTTGATTTGTGACTCGTGAAAAACCTATCATGAGTTCAAGGAACCACATGCCTTTTCTTTTCTTTTCCTTTCTTTTGTTATGTAAGCAAAGGGCACAGACACCACACTGCTCATACCACCTGAACCAATGGCCTGGTGGCAGGAACCACACACTGACTGACATACACACACACATATAAGTTAGGGCATGATTCAGCCCCAAAGAGATATTGATGCCTCTGAGTCTAAGTCTCAGCATTGCCACAACTCTGTTGATTCCTTTCTTGGGATGGGTGGCCTTAATGATTACAAGTTCATATCTCTGAGATGCGTACAACCCTTCTTTCACATGCATAAAGTTACAAATGCACCTTTATGTGTGAATAACTATATACGCACAGTTATATTGATGTTATGTTCTGGTTATTGATCGATTAGTGGCAACAAGATATCTTTTTATGGTCTTTAATTTTATAGCCTTAGAATGGCTTTGTTTGGTCACTGAATGGTCGAAGGCATTACTTTCATTCTTCGCCTTTTCAATCAGATAGAGGCAAAGGCAAAATATGTTAGTAGGTTTAACCACTTACCAAAAAATGTTAGTAGGTTTAACCAAAAAGATCGCATTACTAATAACTAATTGTAAACTATATTCCAGTTTGTAATCCTCGGAAGTGTTCATTTAATTTAATGTACAGTTTCAAGATTTCTAAATTACATATTTCAATTGCTGAATACACTTATACAAGTTATTGCTATATTGCAATTTTATGACCTGTTGTGACATATCTTTCAAATATTGTAGGAAAAATGATCATTAATTTTATAGCCTTAGAATGACTTTGTTTGGTCACTGAATGGTTGAAGGCATTACTTTCATTCTTCACCTTTTCAATCAGATCAGAGTTAAAGGCAAAATAGGTTTAGTAGGTGTAACCAAAACAAAATCGCATTACTACTAACTGATTGTAAACTATATTCCAGTTTGTAATCCTCGGAAGTGATCATTTAATTTAACTTACAGTTTCAAGATTTCTAAACTACATATTTCAATTTCTTAAAACACTTATACAAGTTATTGCTATATTGCAATTTTATGATCTGTTGTGATATATCTAACAAATATTCTAGGAAAATGATATACTCCCTTCGTCCAAAAATAAATTTTCCTTGTTGGGATGCCAACCTTTTAAGTACTTAATGCATTCACATTGTGTTGAATATATATATTTAAAATTTTCAAGAATGTCCCTCTAAAATTTACTTTTTCTCATAGATTTATGTGCTACTTTTCAAGAGGGGCATTTATTTTGGGACATCCAATAGTGAAAAATGGAACAATTTAATATGAAGCAGAGGAAGTAATTTATTCAAAAAAAAAGATTCTGTTCAATATTTTCATACGGAGTATTTTTAATAATTTTATCTAATACATTGATATGTAGTTATGAGGTCACAGCTTACTTCAGGTGGACAATATGATTAAATCGGCAACTTTAACAAGATCCCATTTCTGGTCTGCTTAAGGTTCCAGGCTCAAGCATGAAAGAAGGGAAGAGAACCCACCCCACACACCCTTTAAAAAAAAATGTACATCTAGAATTCACCTTCTGGTTAAAAAATTTAAATTATCTCTTCCACTCAAATCTCATCCATTCTCCCTCTTTCTTTTTTTCCCCCCCTTCTAGAAACACTACAATTCTAAGAAAATTATTTTCCTTCGTTTACCACGTTTCCATTTAAGCAACAAATGCAGGATCTGAGAGCCACTATATTAGGAACAAAGAAGCCAACCAAGGAAAGTAACAAGAGTGAATCAAAGTATTAGGTTGTCACACCCAACACTTGAGTTGAAAGTCTCTACCCCAGAAGCCTAAACGCCAGTGGCAGAGCCAGGAATTTTTTTCAAAGTGGGCAACTATTAACAGTAATAAGATAAGAAACTTTAAACTAAAATAGAATTTTGTGGGGATCCATTGGAGGAGAACATACACGAGCCTTTTTTTAATTTTGAAAATTATTTTAAGCCAATGAGGAGTCATTTTGAAATTTGAAACTTTTTCTTAATTTTTTTTGTGAATTTTTAGGGATTTAGCGGGGCCATTTTTATAATTGCCCCACTGGGCCCAACATGGCTCCACCACTGCTAAACGCCATCTTTCTTTCCTACCCCAACTATTTGGATTGGTTATGTGAATCCTATTTTACCAGTGCGCCCCAAGCTACCGTGTCTTTCCTTATTACTGTAAACCACATCAAGTTCTATTCTCTCTCAGCCAAGCATTAATTTTTTTTATTTTTTTTTTTATTTTTTTTTTTTATTGTTTTGTGATAAATCTCTCATCCAAGCATTAATTATAGCCAATGTAAACCAATTAGTCTTCCTCACTGATCAGTTATTGATAAGGTTTCCCTCATTTTATCTACACAAGTCCACAAGGGCATGACCAATAAGTAAAACATTATGTTGGCAAATTCCACTCAAAATAAGCTATCTACAAATATTTGAAACACTCGGATTATATAATGGCCTTTAATTGCAAAGCACTCCATAGATGTCTATCAAAACATCAATCTAAAGAGTAAGTGTCATATCACAAATGAACAAAAGTAAAATAAGAAAGAAGAATAATATGATGCCATTCTAGTACAATTGAAAATAACCAAAATTTATATACAAATGCTGAAGTATTGAATCATTAGTCCTTAACAACAATCACTATAACTGTCCATCAATCGATCCATCCTAAGTGTTAAATTTCCGGTCAACAACAACACCGGTCAGCAAAGCCAGTCTTCTTCCAAGTTTCTTCCAATTGTATTTTTTCTATAAAAAAAAAAAAAAAAAATGTAGCCACCCAAAATATTTTTTGATTTATCATCTATCCCATATCAAGTTTTCACCTTTCAAAAATCCAACTTTTAAACAGAAAAGCATTTAGTGCATTCGCATTAAAATAAAAAGTCAATATTTTTCAAAAACGTCCTTCAAAAATTTAAAGATTCGCTTTAAGGAAACTATGAATTCAACTCGTCTTTCAGAGTATATTGGGAGTGCTACAAAATTTGATCCATTGACTTTTCAAAATGGGCGTGTATTGCTTACGAAAAAAAAAATAGGTGTGTATTTATGAGTCGGTCAAAAATGGAAGGGGCTATCAAAATGAGATAGATGGAGCAGAAATAATTTTGGACCAATTCCATAAAAAAGTAAAAATATTGACATAAAAAAATAACCTATGAAGATTTTGTGAATACTAGTTCACCTTCCGAGAAAAATAGTGCAGTATGCACATAACTTAATTATTTTAATTCTTTTGACCAGAGCACCAAAATACATACTACATGTAAAGGAAGCTGCTAAACTGAAAATGTTGAAGCAAACTGTGTTTTATATAGAGAGTTTGTAGAGTTTAAATGTTCGACAATGGTGATGTCGCCGTGACACAAACAAACTGGAGGTTCTTAAAGTGAGATAAACAAGCATATTCTGAAGCACTGGTCCAATACAGGATCTCAAAGAAATTCAGTAGTCACATAGATGTTACAGCTTGCATGTGCCTATATATATACATATATAATAAAAAATAAAAAGCATAAAAACAGTACGAAAAATGAACACTGTGTCTTTAAAATAAAGGCTTAAAAAGTTCAAGGTTAGCTCACGTTAACATTTGTAATGTACTGACAGACTGCGCATTTGACTGATGGAGCTCCATATGGATACATCAACGTTGTACGGCAATTCCCACAGTTGACATGAGCGAGCTGGTTAGATGCTTTGCATGTAGAACAAAAAAACGCAATTCAGAAAGAGAGTGTCAGTAAAAGGACTAAGACGAAAAGAATAATGCAACATAATGGACACTGGTATAATCCATGTATTAATCTAGTGTCCTAATCATACAACATATATAATGCAATGATTTAGACATAAATATAAGTTCTCTAGCATACATGATATGGAACCAAAAACAAACAATAGAAAATTTTCATTATTGCTGCAGGTAAACTCCTAAAAGCTTCTAAGATTTAAAACCAAAGAATTTTCCAAGGATAATTATTCATAACAGAAATAACTGACTGGAACTTCTATTAGCCACTGGAGTCAATACTGATTTTCAGCCGGACAATTTCAAGTTACTGACTCATTTCATACGATGTATAAGTTGAAGGAAGAAGCCCAATTCTTAGCCATGAAATTTTTATAGATGCTGATCTTGAGAGCACCACCATATGCCCTCATTAAAGAAAACAAAATGATTAACACAGTTAAAACAACAGCAATGTCAAAATATCACTTCCCCACAAGATTCCTCAAACTTGTTAAGTTCTACCAAACAGAATATTGTTCTCCCTACTAATTGTTCACATTGATACACCATCCACATGTCCCAAGACATACACACAAACAGCTAGTCGATTTCCAAAATAAAGACAACTCATTTCTGTAAGGGGGAAAAGAATAACAAAATAGAGGATGGACCTGCTATGATAATTCCAATCGCATTTCTATGGGATGTCTTCCCGCACCAAAGAAGGAAACCAATCATACCCGAGACTATAGCCAGAAGCCAAACAATAAGTAAATGTCCCAAACTGTCTTTCTTGACTTGATCTTGCTTTTCATATCTTTTTTTTACTTTTTTCTTGTGAACCATATTTATGCGGTAAAACATTTATTTATTTGTTCTATATCCCTTTCTTTCTCAGAGGGCTAAAACATTAGCAGACATGACAGAAGACCCATAGAGGAGCTCTGTAACTTTCAGACAGAAATTAACCAAGAGCTATCCTTGGCAGCACCAATCAAAGGAGCAGACCCTTACCCCAAATCTTGTTTAATGCATGGAAAAGTGTGAAAACATATAACAACACGAGTTAGATTATCAAACCTCACAGATCACAGCATGATGTTCCGAGTCAAGGGACCTAAACATTACAATGTATACCTGGACTGATCTCCACATATTATGGAGAATAATCTTCAAAAACATGTACCTGGTGCAAGATTCACCGTGTGACAGCAAGAGCATCTCACACTTGTAGCTCCACGTGCATACATTAGCAATGTACGGCAGCCTCCACATATAAGTTGGGCCATTTCAAATCCTGCAGGTTTGGAGCAAAAAAGGTGATCTATCTCTGTAACTCAATAATCTAGTGCAAAGAAAGTATATAATCTAATATGTATTTGATTGATGTTTGCTCCCAAGTCAACATTAGTAACTCATAATTAGACTCTTCCAGACTTGCAATTACAATGAAGAAAAGAGTGGCAATAAATACCAGCAGGTGGCACTGAGGTGATTGCATTGCATAGTGCACAACAGACATTGGTAGCTCCCCTGGGATAAAGAAGAATGCTCCTACACCCGCTGCACACTAGCTGGCTCTGCATAGCTGTGATGTCAAAAAGATTCACAAGTTCAAGATTAACATATCTTTACGTTAATAAGAATTGCAAATCTCGAGAATTTCATACAGCCTCAACTGTACAAATTATTGAGAAAAACATAGCAAGTCCTGTATCAATTGCGACATCTATCGCATTACCCCAACGCAGACATAAAAATTAATAAAAAGTATATCTGCATCAGAGTTTTAAAAAAAAAAAAAAGAAAGAAAGAAAAAAAAAATCCCATGACTGTCTGAACCTAAAACATGAGCTCTTGAAAGAGATACCTCTCGCAACTTTTTTTTAAAAAAAAATGCAAGTGAGCAGAAGGTAATAAAATAGTTATGACTTTTGTGATTGAATAAAGATTTCCCCAAGCTCACCAAGAAATATGGGGCCAATGCATTTTGTGATATCCTCAAGCAAAGAAGAAGAAGAATATTGCATGCTTCATGCAAGCAGATGTGTGTCCATGTATTTGTTGAAACAAAATCAATGTGTTTCATATATATTAATGGAAAACACATATTGGAATCAATTTTCTTGGGTAAGTAATTGCTGCTGTTGTTTTTGTTTATTCATTATCCACTGATCAGGGTGCTGTTATGCCCATGTAAATGAATTGCAACATCAACTCACTAGTCACAAAGAGTTCTACAGCATAACTCAGCAGATCCTTATAACTACCAGGGTGACTGCACATTTTTTTCCATTCAGCTCCTTCTAGTCCCTTTTGTACTTTCTTCATGTCATTTTTACAGCTTTAACCCATGTACTATTAAACCTTCCTCCTGTCCTTCCAGAGCCTCAACATGAATCAAAACACTCCTTACTAACATCAAAATGAAAGGTTCAAAGAAGGTTTCACACTGGCCATTTACTATTGGACCAGTCCTTTCCGCATGGCACGCAACTCCCTTCCTGACACAAGTAATGTTTGAGGTAGGGAGTGCAAGGGGAACGAAACATAAAGATGGGCAAATGGTATTTAACCTAGTTTTGGAAAGAGTGTTCCTGAGACAAACAGAAGGGGAAAGCACCTCAACCTAAAAGTTCTAGGGTAGATCCTAAAAGTCCATTTATAAGTGCACACACACAGTTTACTTTGAAATGGATAATTTTGTGGCCAATTAAATGGAGTAGAAAATAAGGAAGTAAACACATTCCCACCTAGCCTCAGGAATTAACTGCTTCCAATGGCTATATAATTATCTCAAGATGAGTGTGAAATGCAAAACTATGATGTAGTGGACCTCAACAATATATAAATATAATTATCTCAAGGTTGAGTGTGAAATGCTAAACTATGATGTAGGGGACCTCAACAATATATAAATATACCATAAGATATCTATTATCACGTTCAAAAGGAATACAGAACATTGCAGAAACCATTAGGGTGCAGGATAAAATGCCCAGTTAGAAAGTGGGGGATGTTATACATTTTCAGACAATATGCAAAAAGGTTAACCAAATAAAATATGGAGGAAGATGACATCGACGAATTGCTATATTATGGATATCTTACTTCAAGACAGAAAATATTTAGGAACACGCGCTTGCACACATGCAAGCGCGCACACGCATCTAATGAATTAACTAATATCTTTTAAATGGTGGCTACAAACAAGTAAATGATAAACGTTCTCATGGAACATGAAATGTTAAAGTGGAATTGTCGAACATTATGATTAACAAACCAATTAAATTGAGTTTTAAAAAGACCAAAACAGCTGTAAGACTAACACGTGCATTTTACAAAATATATGCAACAAAAGAGAAAAATAAGATGTGTACATAATGAAAGCGAACCTGATGTGAGAGTTATTAAATTTATACAGAAATGAATACCCTAATGAGAAGTGGGACGAAAATTACAATTTAGCGCCAAGAAGAGACAGAAATGGAATAAGTCAACTAACATGGACGGTTCTCATGAACAAACACAATAGTTAAAAACAAATCAAGATAAAAATTAACCCATGAATATAAGAAGAATGCAATAAGAACAATCTTTTTGTCCATAGGTGCAAGCCCAAGCTCCAGAGAAGGCGTTGCTGCCCTTTGGTAATGAATCATGAAGTAGTTTACACCACATTCTCTCAAGCCGAACATTAACCATTAAATCTCAAAACAGATGTGATATTCATCAACGCAAGATGAAAGCATGCTTAAGTATTGTTCTATATACAACTGGAAGAACAAAGGCATAACTGATGATTTAAATCGTTATTCCTCAAAATTTACCTAAGCATTAAGGCTATTTTCCAAATCCTAGATGACATGGGCCCATTTATGCAGATTATTAATTGCTTCTTTTCTTTTGAATTTCTTCTGACGTAGATGTGTATAGTCAGGAAAGCATAACAAGGATTGCAAAGTGGTCAGTATGGTCCACAGACAAGCCTCAACTTCAGTATAAATCAAAATCACCTGTCAGTCATTTCTATTAGGGGCCAATATATGATGTAGTGGTAAAAGCTTGGAGCCTCGGATGTCAAGCATGATAATATATATTCAAATTCTAATAGCAGCCACTTTTGTGCAAAATAATGCCAACAGTTGGATCTTTATCCAATCTACCCCTCCCAACACACTCGATTAACAAGACCACACTAGCCAATGACCATTTTGAACAGTTGTAGCTTATTTCTCCCCTTACATGCCTGCCTAATGTGTTCATTTTTAAAATAAGTTCATCAAAATTATCTAATTTCATTATTCCTTATTCTCTCTATAAGATATCCCCAAACAGTATATGAACATGAACCTGACAGTGTATTACTAAGATCTTATTTCCCAGAAAAATTTAAAAAAGAAGAGTGCATTTTCCGGTGTGTCCCACCTACGAGGGGTGCAAAGCAATCATTTTTATCTTTGGAGAGGTCAACTTTGTAAATTATTTTTAATATATACACACACATATGTATTATATACATAAAACATTAAAATGTACAATAAGAGAAAGCAAGTGAAACAAATACATTAACCAACATTTTCACATATATTTCAGTAAATAGTGATTTTTCAAGCACACACATTTTCACATACAAAACAACATAAATTATAGCTCTCAAAAGAATTACCTAACCAACTGAATGAACTAATTCGCTTCAAGTCACCAACTTCGCGAACTCTACCACTTCTGATCAAAATATTTAACCAAAAAAAATCAAAAAGGTCAATCATAAAAAACGTTAAAGAACCTATTTTCATACCACCAAAAACACCAACACGAATAATCAGAATCAGCGCCAAAATCAATAACTTTCATCGAAAGCAATCGAACATCAAGCACCAAAATTCCCAAATCAGAATTCAGAAGAATCAAACAACTGCAGAGGGAAAAATAATTACCAGTGGAAGAGACCTCTAAAAATCGATCTGAAGCCGAGGCTAAACGGCGTGAACAATCAGGAAGATATATATAGATATATAGAACTCTGTATAGATCTTGCAGAGATATATAGAGAGAGAGATTGAATATTTGAGACGCGGATTATCTGAGGGAATTTGAAATCGGCTTTGGAGGATTGAATTGGGGAGTTTTGGATTTGAAAATGGAAAAGATTGTGGACTAATTACGATTTTATTATAATATTCTTCTCGTTGAAAATTGAAATCTTACCCTTTTTCTTCCTCGTTTGGGGAATTAATATGTAAGAATCTTTCAACGAGAAGAACATCAACGGAAACTTCTTTCTACGTTTCCATGGGAATTGGATTTGCTGTAACAAGTCTTCTCTTAACTATGGGTTGTCATTTTAATTATTTCCTAAATATGCCCCATAATTCTTTAAATTTATGAATTCCCCACACAAGCGTAAAAACCAAAGGAATATATCATTGTCAGGAAATTATTTATGTTTTTTTTATAAAAAAAAAAAAAAAACATAAATTAGTTTATTGTTTGTTTATTTGATTGGTGAATTCTATTCGATCTTATTAGATAAGCTGCATGAAATTATACTCTACTTTTTTTTTTTTATAATTTTTAAACATCTCAATCTTTTACTTATACCTTTTCCAAAAGTTGATATTGAATTAAAAAATCATATGCAAAAGTTGATATTGAATTCAAAGATCATTTTTCATTTAATTATCTAAGCATGATTAAAAAAAAAAGGTTTATTAAATGAAAATTTTTGTTCATCTTTGAATTTTAAATGTTAGATAATATCTCAATATTTTGAAAGTATTAAGAAAAATGTTTAAATATTTTGTGAGATAAAAGTTATTAATACTTATTGACTATTTTATTGCACTGTTATTTATTTATTTTTATTTTATTTTTTTGCAGCCAAAATTTTAAAGTCATGATATCATTTCTATGCAATTATTCCAAACTGGAGGAAAACAAAATTAATTATAAATGTTTGATGTCATTCCACAATTTTATCAATTTGATGAGACCTAATAAGAAGAAAACATTTTGAACACTACCCTTTTCTCTCTCTTGTAAAAAATAGTTGATAGCGATGGAATAATAAACTACAGTTTGGATTGGATTGAATTTATCATGGACAACTCATACCTACTTTGAGCCAACAAAGAATAGTAAAATGACAACTCGTTTTGGTAATTTTTAAAAATAGATTATGGATGTGATGGAAGAGATTGTGTGTATCTCTTTTTAAAATAATCTGTAAAATTAAATTAATTTATTTAAAAAAAGTAAAATACAATTTTTTTAATGAGGAATGCTGGGATAGTTATTAGTAGTCGTTGATGATGGATCGTCACCCCAGTGATTGAATATCGATCACAATATCATATGGACTCTTGTGGTTATTAGCCGCGGCTGCTAGCATTTGATTTTTTTTTTTTTTTTTTTTTACTTCGTGAAGATGGATGGATCTAAGAGCTAACAAATTATTAACTAATATGATTTAATGAACTTCATAAATGGTGAGATTAAAAAAATAATAATAATAATTCTTACTAAGATATATTACTTGTATATTTGGAATATGGAAATGCCTAGAATACTTGATTTAAACCTTTTCAACTAGATAAATAAATAAATAAGGAGGAGGAGGAATGCAGTGGAAGAACACTTGAACTGTGGGCTGGATAGAAGAAAATGTTTAGGTTTGGTCCAGAACTCATAAGAACTAATGGGCTCTGAGAGGCCACTGGGCCACTAGAGAGGCTGGACATGGGCTTGGGCAACACCCAATTTTATTCTCATCATCACCAATTTCATCACACAAATGCCATCTCAAATGAAAAGGCATAGGTTTTTATTATTATTTTTTTTTTTACAAGGCAACAAGTATTAGAAGTTAGATTAGTATATACAAGGTGTCAAAGCCTGTCACTCCAAAATTTCTCGAAAGCACTAATCCACGAGATACATGCAAAAAAGTTGAGATTCAACTCTTAAATTGACAAATCTAAAAGAAGAAAAAAAAAAAAAAAAAAAGGGGATACAGATGGATACATCAAAATTTATATATATATATATTTTATGGCAAGAATATTAAAGGTTAGTTGTTAGAAGAAGGGTGCAAACCAATCACTAGGGCAACACTGCACTTACAAAATTTAATAATATAAACTATTATTATATATAAAAGGAGTAATTTTTTATTCATTTGTACCAATATCACTAATTTGGAGGTTAGAGCTATATATTTGTTATTTTTATTTTCAAAAATTTCATACTATTTTTTTAATTAACTCATAATATGTTATAAAATTGCATTGGAATCACGTTATTGTCAGAAAAATAATTACAAATTTAAATAAATAATCAAAGTCCAGCTTTTTCTTTCCTTTCTAAATTTCTAATTGGTGTCTACAAAGTCCATTTTCTTACCCATCAATTCTCTAACATTCCAAGTCACTATCCTAAGCATACAATCTTGGACTAAAAAATAAAAAATAAAAATAAATAATAATAAAAAAAAGTGAGAAACCAATCAAATCCTTTTATTCATGTAAGCCTAAGAACATTTTGGTCCTAGTCACATTAGGTTCGGCCAATTTACTCACATTCTATTGGGCCTGCTCTGACATGAGTTTGTTCTTTCATTCAATTGTATTGCGCTTTTCTCACCTTTTTTTTTTATTTTTTATTTTTTATTTTTTTATTTTTAAGTTAGCACTGGGAACTCACCTGGGCAGAGCTCCTTCGAGACCCACCCTAAGCTACGAATCTGGGGGTGCAGAGTCTCGCTCCAATGATACACCGTGTAAGTCAGAGAAATTAGAAGGCTTGGTAGGAATCGAACACTGGCCGATTGGATGCCAACCTCGAGCCCCTACCATCACTGCCAAGCCCCCGGGGCCGCTTTTCTCACTTTTGTTACTTCGTAATGTTTATTTATTTATTTATTTCTTTTTCCTTTTTATTTCCCAGTTTTGTGGCTTCAAATTATCTCCACCCTTCTTAAATCTTGTTCTTTTGGGAATTTGCTTACTTTATGATAGATCTTTATTAGATTTGTACACATTTTGAAGAAAAAGTTAGATCAAGAAAGAAATCAAGAGAATAATATTAACATCTTCATCATGTTTGGAAAATTAATAAATTGAAAAAAAATAATAATAATAATGATAACCACAGACCCCTCAAAACTAAAGCCAAATGTGAGAAATTCAAAAAAAGTCACGAAGGTCAAATCGGTCATAGATGGAGTAGGTAGAGAGAAAGATGAGGAAAAAAAAAAGAATAGTCACTTTAAACTTTCAAATAATTTGTAAATTTTGAATCATTTATGTCAATCTCTAATTATACAATTTTTTTTTTTTTTTTTTTTTTTTTTTTTGTGTTTGAGAGATTAGAAATTTAAGAAAAGAAAGCTTATTGGATTATAAATATATATAATATATGAAAATGAAAATAAATAGAGCAAAATGGGCTGCGTAAAAAAAGCTAGGCGCAGAGATTGGGACCCAAATAATGAAGAAGGGTATGTGTTGTCCACAATCAGTTGGTGATTGGCGACAAAATGGGAAAGTTGAAAATGGGGGCCATTTTGTGAAGAAAAGCAATCATCAGTTTGCTTTCATCTTTGACCTACAAAAGTCTCCTAGGCAGGCCATGTCTACCACGTGATCACTTGTGTACTTCAGATTGGCACTTCTGATGTTATGGAAATCTAACCAATGCAAATCCCACATGTGGCCTACCAAAATTAATACCAAACCAATATGCTTTTCTTTTTTTTTCTTTTTTTTTTTTTTTTTTCTTGTGTCACAATTATTTTTCATCCCACGTTCATCGAGTAATTATTTAAAAAAACGAATTTATGAAGTAATTCTAAGAAGATTCGTACTTCTAACTTAAAAAAAAAGGGATAAAAAAACATTATTAGGCAGGTTATATATTTGTATCACAATTATATGCACGTGTTGAGAATTGAATAAGACTTATTTAATTATCGGTGAGATATACAAATAATCTGTAATTACAAAATTTACAAAGTAATAAATAAGAAAATCAGAGAGAGTAATGAATTTATTTTTAAAAAATTATTGTCTTATTTATTACTTTTTTGATTTTATAATTATGAATTATTTGTATATTTGTTATTGAACCAAATTAACTATCCAGTAATAATAACCTACTCACATGTTAATAGACAAGTCTTGTCTTTGAAAATTTATATGTTCTATGATATATTATAATTACATGTAAAATATATTATAATTTCATATACATTTAAATTTATACAAAAATAATCACGTGATATGTCGATACAGTTGATGATTTCAAGAGAAACATTTTTAACATGATGCAAAATTCCATATATAAGAAGTTGGTGAATGGTGATAATAAACCAATAGCAATCATTTGGGGATGCCCTAGATGATCAAGAAAAGGCTTGTATATTATTAGCTGATGTCGGTTTGAACTATTTAGATAAATATTTCAATTCTTATACATAATTAAAACTAATTTATTAGGATTTAAATAATTCAAGTACCACTTGTCAAAAATAAAGTGGTTCAATTTTTCTAAGGATATATGTACTTCATTTTTCTTTTTTTCCATACCTGACTCATTACCTATGCTATTTCTTTTTATTAGATTAAAACTTTAAATAGAATTGTAAATGAAACTGTTCCACAAACAATTCAGAATCGACTGGTTTAAAATTCAGGTTTAGAAAACAAACCAATTCCAAGGTAGTGTAAACTCGCATGTATTCATAAACATAGACTCCTTAAATAGTAAACTTACATAGTTACCCCAATATATATATATATATATATATAGTACACTTACCTTCTTTATATTATTATTATTATTTTAATTAAGTGAAATACTACATTGTATACGGTGGCGGAGCCACAGTAGGCCCACTGAACTTTTGTAATTAGTTTTGTATGTATCATCTTTAAAAATTATAAAAATGTCCCACTAAAATTATAAATAAAAAAAAAAACCTTAAATATTCATCATTTAGCCTCTTTTTTTAATTATCATTTTTATTAGTTGTTATATTTACTATCTTACCACACATTCAGTTCATCTCTCCTATTTTCAGCCGTCAATATCTCTCTTTTGCCCTCTCAATCTTTCCCATTCAGAATTTTTTTTATTTTTATTTATTTATTTATTTATTTTCTCTAAGCCATTATGCAAAAATATTTATTACATTATTTCACCCCAATCTTACTTTCTCTACAAAATAAAGTTTTCATTTCAGGATAAAGATTTTGTTAACATCAATAAATTTGGTTTTCTTCTTCTCTTTATTATTATTATTATTATATATATAT